CCACACGTCTTAAAAGTTATCAAGGTTGAGAAACACTGCCTTAGGGTGCAGAAGAGGCCATCAGGAAGCCCTCCGCCCTGCCCAAGTGTTTTATTCAGAACTACAAAAATGAGCCGTCCGGGCAACTGCGACATTCTAGTCTCTCCACAGCCGCTTTGTGTCCAATCAAGTTCCAATTCCTTTCTGGGGAAGTCTAAGAGGAAATGGGGAATTGTGAAAGCCAGCACCGTCTTTTGAGGGGCATCAACTTGCAGATACTGGAAGCTTCCCGAGATCGCTCAGGATGAGCCTGCAGTGCAACTCGCTGACAAGGATGGACTGTGCCACAATTGTTGTTTCCTTCTTAAAAATGAAACGAAACAAACAAACAAAAACAAAGAAACCCCGAACAGGCATGAACACAAACTTACTGTATCACTCTCTTCGTCAGAGACTGACTGGATTTGAGTGTTATAGTGGAGAGGAGAATAGACCCAGCTCCTCTCGTCTGTCGGCTGGCGGACAGCAAAGCAGAGAGCAAAAGAAGCAGCAGGGAGGAGAGTAAAATAAAAAGAGGAAAGAAAAAAGAGAGAAAAAGAGAGAGATGAAAGCTACAACACCAACGAGAAAAACTACATGATTGGAGAGAGAAAAAGAAACACAAAGGCAGAGCTCGGCTTTCACACAGAAGTTGATGTTTTCCAACCCCACCCCACCCCCCCACTTATCTATCTAAAGCAGTGTTTCTCAACCTTGACAATTTTAAGGCATGTGGACTTCAACTCCCAGAATTCCACAGCCAGCAATGCTGGCTGTGGAATTCTGGGAGTTGAAGTCCACATGCCTTAAAATTGTCAAGGTTGAGAAACACTGATCTAAAGCAGTGTTTCTCAACCTTGGCAACTTTTTGATGTGTGGACTTCAACTCCCAAAATTCTCCAGCTAGCAACTCTAGCTGGAGAATTCTGGGAGTTGAAGTCCACACATCGTAAAGTTGCCAAGGTTGAGAAACACTGATTATTCTAAAGCACCCCATCAATGTCAGCTCAGGTGAGAATCACTGTGCTGAAGAGTTTGGTTCCCTTAAAACTCAGCTTTTCAATAGCAGTAGCACTATTCGACTTATAACAGGTAGTCCTCGACTTACAACAGTTCATTTAGTGACCGCTCAAAGTTACGGCATTGAAAAAAAAGGGACTCATGCCCGTTTTTCACACTTACAACCGTTGCCGCCTCTCCATGGTCACATGATCAAAATTTAGATGCTTGGCAAGTGGCTCATATTTACAACGGTTGCAGTGCCCTGGGGATCCCACGATCCCCTTGCAATCTTCTGACAAGCAAAGTCGGGGGGGGATCCATATTCACTTAACAACCGTGTTACTAACTTAACAAATGCAATGACTGACTTAACAACCGTGACAGGAAAAGTCGTAAAATGGGACAAAACTCATTAAACAAATATTTCACATAGCAACATAAATTTTGGGCTCAACTGTGGTTGTAATTCGAGGACTACCTGCATACGGCTTCATAGTGCTTTACAGCCCTCTCTGAGCACTGTACAGAGTCAGCCTCTTGCCCCCAACAATCTGGGTCCTTATTTTACGGACCTCAGAAGGATGGAAGGCTGAGTTAACCTTGAGCCGGTCAGAATCGAACTCCTGGCAGTGAACAAAGCCTGCAATACCGCATTTTAACCACTGCGCTACCAGGGCTCTTAAACTAGGAATGTGCAACCAGTGGCCGCGGGACTGTCAATCTCTTTTTGGTGGATTCATAGAACCCCATCAAACCATCACTGTTAAAAATCTGCACTTAAGTACTTTTCCAGGTGGGAAATCAATAAAAACCGAACAGTGCATCTTAAAAGATGCTGCCTATGGTTGAAAAGTAAAGGAAGATACTGTGGAGTTCCTAGTGCTCTCTCAGTTTGGTTGCTTGCTTGTGGACGTTTCATTGCCCAACTAGGTAACATCATCAGGATGAGGATTTATGGGGTTTGCACCCTGTTTATATACAGAGAGTCCTTGACTTACAACCATTTGTTTAGTGGCTGTTCAGAACTTACAATGTCACTGACAATAGCAGCCTGCAACTCAGTCTTCACAACCCAACGGTCCCATGATCAAAACTTGAGTGCTTGGCAACCGGAGTGTATTTGTGAGAGTTGCGGTGTCCCAGGGCCATTTGTGACCTTCCCAGCTGGTTTACAACAAGCAAAGTCAAAGGGGGGGGGAAATGGATTTGCTTAGTGTCTGCATCATTTACTTAACTGCGGTGATCTGATTAACCACCATTGCAAAAAAAAAGGTAAACTCAGCTGTGACTCGCTTAACAACCACCTTGCTTAGCAATGGAAATTATGATCTCAAGTGTGGTCGTAAGTCGAGGACTGCTTGTAGTTCCTTGATTAGGGTATTGTTTTGCACCTGAGGAAATTTCTGCTTAAGGGACTTTAATCAATGCTACAAAGGTCTCGTCTGGGAAATGTAGAATTCTATAAAGTGTTTGATTTTTTTTTAAAGACACTTTTAAATATACAAATTGTAAGCATCTCAAACTCTTGATTATCAGCCACTTGGACTATGGTAAGGTGGGGATGCCTGTGGAGAAGAGCCAGAAGCTAAAGCAGGTACAAAAGACAGTGGGAGGATTACTGGTGTTTCCCACCAGTGAATAATAATACCAGGGGTCTACAAACGTGGCCCTTTTATGACTTGTGGACTTCAACTCCCAGAATTCCTCAGCCAGCGTGCCTGGCTGAGGAATTCTGGGAGTTGAAGTCCACAAGTCATAAAAAGGCCAAGTTTGAAGACCCCTGAACAATACCAATGCTAGCCTGAATGCTTCCAGGCCAAAAACTAATTATTAAAACTTTTTATGGCACGGCATTGGGATTTATCCCCAAATTAAAATGGAAAGCAAACTTCAATTACATTTCAACTAGGTTAAGAGTTTAGCTAAATTCTTGGCTTAACGGCCCACGATTCACTTAACAACTGCCGCAATTTGCTTAACCGTAGCAAAAAGGTAGTAAAAATGAAGCTGCCTTGCTTAGCAACAGAAATGTTGGGCCTCATTGTGGTCGTAAGTCGAGGACCACCTCTATTGTCCTAAGATCAATCCAATGAAGTTGTGCAAGAAAAGTGCCCATCTCCTCCGCTTATCTAAGAGATGAACGGGGCAGGATATCACACAGAGACACAGCTGAGAGCCTCCTAGCCTGAGGGGGAAATTCTGCCCTGTGTCTGGTTAGCAACATACTGCAGGATCCTGTCTTGTGCCACACTGAGGAATAATAGCATAACAGAGTTGGAAGAGACCCTGGAGGTCTTCTAGTCCAACCCCCTGCTTGAGCAGGAGACCCTATACCAGGGGTAGGCAACCTTGGCTCTTTTATGACTCGTGGACTTCAATTCCCAGAATTCCTGAACCAGCATAACTCAGCTTGGAAACCTCTCCCTTTCCCCTCAGCATGGCTGGCTCAGGAATTCTGGGAGTTGAAGTCCACGAGTCATAAAAGAGCCCAGGTTGCCTACCCCTGCCCTATACCAATTCAGCTAGGTGGCTGTTCAGTCTTTTCTTAAAAACCTCCAGCGATGGAGCTCCCACAACTTCTGGAGGCAAGCCATTCCACTGGTTTATTGTTCTCAATGTCAGGAAGTTTCTCCTTAGTTCCAGGTTGCTTCTCTCCTTGATTAGTTTCCATCCGTTGCTTCTTGTTCTCCTTCAGGTGCTTTGGAGACTAGGTTGACCCCTCTTCCTTGTGGCAAGCCCTTAGATATTGGAACACTGCTATCATGTCACCCCTATAGTCCTTCTTTCCACTAGACTAGACCATACCCAATTCCTGCAATTGTTCTTTGTATGTTTTAGCCTCCACTCCCCATATCATCTTTGATGCTCTTCTCTGCACTCTTTCCAGAGTCTCGACATCTTTTTTTATATCATGGCGACCCAAACTGGAGGCAGTATTTCAGCCAGAAATGTCCAATTTTCGAAGGAGGGCCCTCAAACCCTTGGCATTCAAAGGAAGTAGAAGTCCAAAGCCAGAAATGCAAAGGCTGCTTTGGGAGATTTCAAGAATGCTGGGAAGGAAAAAAACAGGCCAAGTCTAGTGAATGGCTACTGTCCCTGCCCATCCCTTGTCCCATCCCTTGCAGCATGTTCTACCTCAACAGAACAACAGAAGAGGCCTAGCAAGCAAACCAAGGGGAACACAAAGCTTCTTCTACCTACAACACCACAACGGAGGAGAGAGAACTTTGAATTGCCAAAGGGGGAGGTGTAAAATCAAATCTTTCCTCGCCCTCTTTTTAAAAAGCCACTCTCCTCTAACACCGAAAGCTATTTTTGCATACTATTTAAAATGTCCCTTCTTGCCAGCAGGGTGTATTACATTTGTATCAGGCTTGCTGACCGGGAATTTGGGCCCTGAGAATTAACACACCTGGAAGGAGAAAACCCAGGTTAGGGAAGGTGGCTTGATACCTGTAGTAAGGTAACAACGAAGACCCAACCTTGGTTAGTTAAGAGCAAGGAAGATCAGCGGCGTTGAAAGACTAAACTATGGATTAGGAACGGCTGTTGCCATCCTTGCTGGCTGCGAATTTAATATTCTGTTTAAAATGTTTCCATGCCACCAGATTGGAAGAAATCTTGAGGCAGGGCAGAATAACCCCTAAATCATGCCGTTGTCCAACGAAACCCAAATGTGCCTTATCAAAACAGAAAAGCTGGTGGCCTCAAAGCAACCCCCCCCTTTTTTTTTTTTGAAGCAGAGGAAGATCCTAAGATTCTTCTTATGCTCAGCTAGCAGTGGGCTGTGCCAAGTAAGCCTAGGCACAACGATGGCAAACCCATTAACACCTGGGTCAAAAGTGACACAACGCTACGACGTTTTATTATTATTTTTTCATTTAGCATCTGGCGATGTTACATTATTAAGCAGGAGACTACAGTGCTTAATGCGGAGTAGTACTTTGGCTGCCTAAGAATGTTTGGCAACACACCAGCGTTCAACAATAGCCGACAGCAACTGTTCTCAAAAGCACGTCCCGTTTCTCGCGTGATTTTTGGAGGCCCCCCGCAAGAGTGGGATGTGGTGTCTCGCGCAGCCTCTGAAAATCATGCGAGAACGAGGTGTGTTTTTAACAGGCTGCAGAGGCTGTGGAAGAGCATTCCCTCGTGCTGCTTCCAGAGGAAAAGACTTGTGCAACCCACAGCAGCCTCCCGTAGGCCGCAAGGACCTGTCAACGGAAAGAGGACACCGCGGGACGCAGAAGAACTTGGAGAGCCCTGGGCTGCAGAGGCAATCACACCGTTCCCCAAGCTTCGCGCATCTTGGGGAACGGTGCAAGGCAGACTTTTTGAGTGGCAGTGTGGCACTAGGGCTGAAGTTGCAGCCCAAGGCCTCTCCTCCAGGCCCAGCCTTGGTGCTGCCACTGAGTGCCACCGTTCAGGGCAGCCTAGATGGGTGGGGAGATAAAAGATTTGATTCTCTTCTGTTTAGAGGTGGTGGTGGCGGTGCGATACACCAGCAGAGACATTTTCCAAATATCTGACACACCGAGTCGAAAAGGTTCGCGGCAGGAGCCCGGATGCCTTGCCCCAAAGTTGGCATTTCAAAATTGGGATGGAGCTGCCCTTTGCTACCAGCAAAATCACTTACGTCCCCAGAGGAAACCGAGGCGGCTCGAAGCCTGCGCAGGCGGGGGGAGTAAATCCAGTACTTTCCTTCTGTGAACTAGACCGGGCACATCCAAAGGCGAATGAGAGGGGAGAAAAGGGAAGAAGACGGACCGGAAGAAAGGAAAGGGGGGAAAAAAAAAGGAAGGAGAGGAGAAAGGATGAATGAAAGATAAGAAATGATCGCGTCGGTGGAAAAGGTAAGCGTGCACACAAGCATGAGAGGACAACCCGGTGAAGAGAACATGCTTGGAAACAGGTGGATGTTGTGAGAACTCGGCTGCCGTGGAAGAAAATAATACATTTCCGCTGCCAGGGCCTTCCTCGGGCTCTTTCCACGGAGGGCCAAGATACTCTGCATTCTGCAAGCTTTTTAAAGGTCTGGTTGAAGTCATGCTAGCGATCATTTGCAAAGGACTTTCTGCTCCTGCTGTGGAGTTGTGTCTTTGGAGGGACAAAGAAACAACGGTCCGGTGGACACGGAACCACAGAAAGGGGTGTGTGTGTGAAAAAACAAGCCCTGACTCGCTTGATTGACACAGCAAATCCAGGAACGCTAGGTGCAAACACGGGGAGACGTGCACATGCGAAAAATAAAGTGGACAGTTATGAACCGCCCACACCAGGCAATATTTACCAGGCTTCTCTTCTGCTCTGGCCTTTGAAATATCAACGTGTAATCTAGCACGAACTTGCGTAGCCACTGCTCCAAAACTGAATGCCGTACAGGTAGTCCTCGACTTAACGATCACCGTTGGGACCAACATTTCCACTGCTAAGCAAGGCAGTTAAAAGAGAGTGGCGCCCGGTTTTACAACCTGTTTTGTCCCGGTTGTTAAGGGAATCACGTGGACACGAATCGGATCCAGCTTCCCCCATTGACTTTGCTCAGGAGGAGCCAGCTAGGAAAGTCGTGAATGGGGATCACGCGACTCCACATCGTAAATACACGCTGGTTGCCAAGCGCCCGACTTATTGATCCCAGGACCGTGGGGATGCTACGATGGTCGTTATGTTCCTTTTTTGGTGCCGTTATAACTTTGAACGGTCACTGAATGAATGGTTGCAAGTCGAGGATTACCTGTAAGGCAGGGGTCTGCGGCCTTGACAACTTTAAGACTTGTGGACTTCAGCTCCCAGAATTCCTCAGCCAGCATAGCTGGCTGAGGAATTCTGGGAATTGAAGTCCACAAGTCTTAAAGTTGTCAAGGCTGCAGACCCCTGCTGTAAGGCATTCAGTTATAATAATCATTTCAGCCAGGGGGTTTACCTTCTCGGGATTAACAAAGTAGGTAAGGCAAATACATAAGGTCAAGGTACTTAAATCAGCCTTGTTTGCGCTGGATTCCAGATTTTTTGTCTCTTAAAGCGCCTACGTGAAAAATTCTGCACGTTAAGAAATCGAAACGATCAATCAGATCTGGGAATAAAAATACCCAGGGAACTATACAAGGCTACACTAGGAAACCAATTCCTGAAATGGGTGGCGAGGGAGAACGAGGGGAGAACTAACATGCCTCAAACAAAGTCAGATGCAAAGCTTCTTCACATGCATGTCCGATTCACATGCACTTGAAATCATCCTTCACGGGGCAACCTTTCCTGCAAGCTGGTGGGAGAAGGGATAAAAAGAGGGAGGAAGGGACGTGGGAAGAGGGAGGTAGCCTTAGCCAGAGTTAAGACCAAAGCGGGAAGGTCTGTTTTAAGGAAGATGGTGGGTGGGCACTGTCTTGTAGCCTGACCGCTTGATTGCTTTAACCATAATGCAGGGGCGTCAAACTCAATTTCACTGAGGGCCACATCAGCATTGTGGTTGCCCTGGGGGGGGGGGCAGGGGTGTGTGCCCAGAGCGAGTGCAGCCTACTGGGTGGGTGTGGATGGAGTGGGTGGGGCCTACTGGGTGGGCATGGCCAGTTCTACATCATTCACGTAAAGGGTGCCTGTGGAGGCCTGGGCAGGAGTGGGACAGATCTGAGGGTCTCTGGCAGAAGGGGGTGGGACCGGGGCAAGTGCCAAGGCATGGTCCACCGGGGCAAGTGCCAAGATGGCCACCACAAAACTGTACATTGGCTCCCGGCCGGCCTGGGCCAGGGCCAAGGCAGCGGGGGCCGTTCCCTCACTGTTTCCAGGATGGCTTCGTGGGCCAAATGAAACCACTTCGCGGGCCGCATCCAGGACCCGTGCCTTGTGTTTGACATGTCTGCCATAATGGGACCAAGTTGTTTGAAGAACTATCTTTTCGTATCCATCTGACCCACCAGGATGTGGAGGCAGGATAGGCTATGGGTCCCCTCTCCTGAGGATATTTATTTAGTTGCAGGGGTGGGCAACTATGGCCCCTTTAGGATGTGTGGCTCAGGAATTCTGGGAATTGAAGTCCACAGGTTATAAAGGGCCCAGAGTTGCCCATTCCTGATCTAGTGGGATCAGGAAAAAGGGCTTTCTCCGTGGTGGCTCCCTCCCTGTGGAACATCATCCCTGCGGAAATAAGATTGGCCTCCACCTTGACACTCTTTCAAAAGGCCCTGAAGATATGGTTTTGCCAGAGGGCCTGGAGAACCTAGGGCGATACCAAACCCATCAAGTGGTTTGTTTGATTGTTGGGGGGGCAGGGAGAGAGAGACTTTACTGGGTTTTGTATTGGGAGTATTTTATAAGCTGCTCAGAGACGCTGTAAGTGGGGCAGCCATATATTTTTTTTGAATAAATCAAATAATAGAAAGAGTAACTCTTTAGCAGACATGTCAAACTCGCGACATCACGTGTTGTCACGTGACGTATCGGGACTGTTTCGTCACTGCCGACAATGGGGTGGGCGCGTCTTCCGAGTGACGCGTCCGGCCCGCGGGCGGCAGTTTGACACCCCTGCTCTACAGCAGTGGCCAAAATCGTGGAAACCTTTTGGGAAAAGTGTACCTTTGAGGTTTGATGGCTAATAACACCACTTTGTTTTGGAGTAGTACCATAAAATTATATATCAATGGAAAGATAATTTAAATCAAGAATGTAATGCAACAAAGCTTGTTCAATTATCTGTATTCTATGAAAGGTTATAGCCAAATAACCAGAAAAAGGAAGCACAACTTGTTTAGGTTGATATCAGGTAGCTTTCCTTCATCTGATTGTAGCCAATGAGCATGAGTGTTTAGAGAGCCAATCAGGTGTCATCTTGTTTTGGCAGTGAGCCAATCAGATTACAGTAGGATTCGGTGATTGATGTCATGTATTGAAGCTGAGAGGAGGACATTTGTCAGTGTGTTATGTGATCGCTATCAAGTTGGTTGGGTTTTTTTGTGTTCTTTCATTTAGTGACTGCTCTTTAGAAGGCCAGATCCTGAAGTTGAAACTCAAGTCCTTTGGCCACCTAATGAGAAGGAAGGACTCACTGGAGAAGAGCCTCATGCTGGGAAAGATGGAGGGCAATAGAAGAAGGGGACGACAGAGAATGAGGTGGCTGGATGGAGTCACTGAAGCAGTAGGCGTGAGCTTAAATGGACTCCAGAAGATGGTAGAGGACAGGAAGGCCTGCAGGAACATGGTCCATGGGGTCGCGATGGGTCGGACACGATTTCGCAACTAACAATAACAACATTTAGTGAGCTTGTAAAACGTAATAAAATTAAAGTAATGGTGCAAAAGGAAGTGGTGTTATTAGCCATCAACCCTCAAATGTACACTTTTCCCAAAAGGTTTCCACAATTTGGGCCACTACGGTATAGGAATGCTTAGGACAGACTACAGAAAGCCGAAACGTCAGCAGATGGCAGCAAAGATGTTTCTGCCCCTCTGGGGGAAAAGAAGTAACTGCACTCTGCAAACTTTTAAAGCAGGGGTCTTCGAACTTGGCCCTTTTATGACATGTGGACTTCAACTCCCAGAATTCCTCAGCCAGGCATGCGTGCCTGGCTGAGGAATTCTGGGAGTTGAAGTCCACAAATCATAAAAGGGCCAAGCTTGAAGACCCCTGCTTTAAAGGGATGTTACATGGGACGACGTTTTCTCAAACTCAAGAGGCTTTAATTTATGTGGATTTCAACTCCCAGCATTCACCAGGCTGGCTGAGGAATTCTGGGAGTTGAAGTCCACACAGCTAAAGCTGCTGAAACGTCAAGCTGACATTTAGAAGGCAGCAACGATTTAAAAGCTTTGTTGGTCCAGGGTGCAGGAAACAGGTTTACGGGAGAGACGGCAAGAGAACATTAGAGGAATCGTCTATTAAAAAAGAGCAATTTCCTGACAGAATCTATAGATATACAAAAAGGCACCAGACAAGGTTGTCCACTTTCTCCATTATTATTTGTACTGTCTTTGGAAATCTTGCTTTCTAGAATTAGAGAATCACCAATGATTAAAGGCTTAAAGATTTTTACTAAAGAATATAAACTTAAAGCTTTTGCTGATGACTTAATTTTTACATTAACTCAACCAATTAAATCATTGGAATTTTTGTTGCAAGAGCTACATCAGTATGGTAAAGTGGCTGGATTTAAAATTAATGTGAATAAGACTAAAATTCTTACAAAGAATATGATCGTAAGAGACAAAGATCAACTTATGCAGATGTCAGGATTTGAAGTGGTTAATAAAGTTAAATATTTGGGAATTTTTTTGTCATCATCCAACGCAAAACTTTACCAGAATAACTATGAAAGATTATGGAAATTGGTACAAAAGGATTTATTATCGTGGAAAAAACTACAGCTTTCGTTGCTGGGTCGCATAGCGGCCATTAAAATGACTATTCTGCCTAAGTTTCTTTTTTTATTTCAGATGATACCTATTTTAAAAAATGAAATTAACTTGAAAGAATGGCAAAGAGACTTGAATCGCTTTATTTGGGAGGGCAAGAAGGCGAGAGTTAAATTTAAGATTATTCAAGACACCAGAGAACGTGGAGGACTTAAAGTACCAAATTTGACACTTTATTATGATTCTTCTGCATTAACGTGGATGACTGATTGGATTAATTTGTCTAACAAAGGGATTTTGAATGTCGAAGGTTGGGACTTGTATTTTGGGTGGCATGCTTACCTCTTTATGCAGAAAAAAATTGATAAAACTTTTAGAAATCATATAATAAGGTCTGCATTGTTAAGAGTTTGGCAAAAATATTTTCTTAAGTTTAACGTTAAGTTACCACTCTGGGTGATCCCGTCGCATATTTTTCAAGCAATAACTAGAGGAGTGGTGATGGAGGGACCTACTTATAAAGATTTGTTATACCAGAGTGGTGGTGGTAACTGGTGCCTAAAATCAATGGATGAGTTAAAGCAAAACAACCCAAATTTTTCTTGGCTTTTGTATGGACAAATTCAAGATGGATGGCGAATTGATAAAAAGACTTCTTTTGCTTTGGAAGATGGGATTTTTTTGAAGCAAATAAGAGATGGTGCCAAAGCTCATATCAAGAGGATATACAATGTTTTATTAGAATTGGACTCAGAAACTGAATTAGTTAAAGACTGTATGATTAAATGGGCTCAAAATATAGGAGAAACAATACCTATGGACACTTGGGAGTTGATCTGGGTGAGAAATGTGAAGTTTACACAAGCACAAAATCTACGTGAAAATTTTTATAAGATGTTTTATAGATGGCACTTGGATCCTTCAACTATGTCTCGTATTTATCCGAACTATGAATCCAAGTGCTGGAGGTGTGGTCATCCAGATGCAACCTTTTTTCATATGTGGTGGACTTGTAAGGTCATTAAGGCCTTTTGGGTACAACTATGGTGGAACTTACAGCAGATTTTTAAAAAAAGGATTATTTTTCTTCCACAGTTGTTTCTTTTAGGTATTGTGCAAGACTTAGATGCAAAAGAAATAAATTTGATGCTTTATTGTTTATCTGCTGCCCGATTGCTAATAGCCCAAAATTGGAAGAGCCCAATTCTGCCTACGATGGGAGACTGGAGATTGAAAGTTTCGTATCTTGCTGAAATGGCAAAGATTTCGGCTTACATGAAGAACCATTCAAATGAACAATTTTTATCAATATGGAGAAGATGGATTGTTTATATTCAAAAGAAACATAGAGTGGTAGAATATAATTTAGGTTTTTAGATTTTTTAAGTTTGCTTATTTCTATCCTTTCTGGTAGATTAAGATATTTTGTGGAGTTAGAGATATCAGTATTTGTTTACTTTTACTTTTATATGAATATTATCCTGGGAGTAGGTTTGGGAAGTCTGGGGGTGGGTGGGGGTTTTTTGATTGTTTATTGCGATTACTTATGATTGTTTTTTTTATGATGGAAAAATAAATAAAATTTTCTAAAAAAAAAAAAAGAAGAGCAATTTGATTATTAGCTGGGGGATAGGTGAACTTCTCCCTGCAAGTTGCCTTCGAGCAGCTGGACATAGCTACTACATCTTAGGTAGTCCTCGACTTACAACCATTCATTTAGTGACCGTTCAAAGTTACAACAGCCCTGGAAAGTTTTCACACGGCCATCGCAGCATCCCCACGGTCGTGTAAATCAAAATTTGGGCACTTGGAAACTGCCACGTATTTACGACAGTTGCACTATTCCTTGGGTCTCGTGATCACCATTGGTAACCTTCTGACAAGCAAAGTCAGTGGGGGAAGCCAGGTTCAGTTAATGACTGCCTGCTTCACTTAACAACCGCAGTGGTTTACTTGGCAACGGTGGCAAAACAGCTTACAAAATGGAGCGAAAACTCATTTAACGATTGTCTTGCTTAGCAACGGCCATTTTGGGCTCAACTGTAGTCGTAAATCGAGGACTACCTGCGCTCTGGCTTTAATCAAAGGTTAGACAGGCTTGAGTAAAGCAAACATTCCCACTGAAATCCACTGCATTACCTTTTAGCCAAGAGACTCCCGCTCGACTTCGAAGAAGATTTAACAAGATCGGACACCGGGTTCTGGGAAAGATGGGAGGTCTCCTTAACACAATTTTGAGGTTTCACACCCACAGAATCTAGCACAGCATGGTTGCACACACCACACACACACACACACAAACACACACTCCTTGGCTCACTTACTCCCTGCTCTGCCTCCCTAGATGTCCTCCTCTGGACACGTTCCTGCCTGCAGGGAAAGGAAAGGCCATTCACAAATGCATCCGAGAGCCGTGGAGAAGCCCAGAGAGGGCCACATTTCTACCTATTTTCAAGGGAATCTCGAGATTTTTTTCCTGACAGAGATTTTTCCAGTTGGTTTCTTTTGGCAACCTGGCAGGAAAAAAAGGGTGTGAATGCAAAGGGATGAATGTGCATCGGGGTGACAGGACAAGACAATACCTTGGCGCAGGTGTGTTGGCTCGTTTTAAGTCTTCAGGTGGGTAGGGCGGAACGAGTGAAGCTGAAAAGCAAGGGAAGGAAGGAAGGAGGGAAGAGCCAAACCAACTGCAGCATTGTGCACAAAAGGAAAAGTGGGGGGGGGGGCTTACAAAATAGATATCCGGGATTGCAAGGTCCTCTTCATCCGAAGCTTGGCTGGCAGGCTCGGATGCCTGGCTTGCTGTCTCAACCTCCGCCGCCGCTGCTGCCGCCACCGACAACATGGTGGCACACGCTAAGGACGCCGCCTCTCTGCAAAGAAAGGAGATGGGTGAGGATGGGGGCGGTGGCGGTTTGGACCTCCGTCTGACAAAAGTGTGACAAGATCCCAAATCCCAGGGGTGTCAAACTCAATTTCATTGAGGGCCGCATCAGCATTGTGGTTGCCCTCGGGGGGTGGGGGTGGGGTGGCCAGGGTGGATGCGGCCTACTGGGTGGGCGTGGATGGAGTGGGTGTGGCCTACTGGGTGGGCATGGTGCTTGTGGGGGCCTGGGCAGGAGTGGGACAGATCTGCGGGTCTCTGGCAGAAGGGGGTGGGACCGGGGCAAGCGCCAAGGCATGGTCCATTTCTTCATTCCTCACAAAGGGTGACACCTTCCCAGCATGCACCCAGGGGGCGGGGCCGACACAGCAGGGGCTGGTTCCTTGCTCTTTCTAGAGCAGTGGTTCTCAACCTGTGGGTTGCGACCCCTTTGGGAATCGAACGACCCTTTCACAGGGGTCGCCTAAGACCATCGGAAAACACATAATTACATATAATGCTTTAATTATGTTCAATTTGTAACAATGAAAATACATCCTGCATATCAGATATTTACGATTCATAACAGTAGCAAAATTACAGTTATGACGTAGCAACGAAAATAATTTTATGGTTGGGGGTCATCACAACATGAGGAACTGTATTAAAGGGTCACGGCATTAGGAAGGTTGAGAACCACTGTTCTAGAGGGCCTTGTGGAGCTAAGACTGAATACGTTTCAGCATAGATGGCCACCACAAAATTGTACATTGGCTCCCGGCCGGCCTGGGCCAGGGCCAAGGCAGCAGGGGCCGTTCCCTCGCTGTTTCCAGGATGGCTTCGCGGGCCACATGAAACCACTTCGCGGGCCGCATCCGGCCCCCGGGCCTTGTGTTTGACATGTCTGCCATATCCACTGGGAAACCCCAGAAGCAGGGAAGAATCCCAAGACCGCACATCCGAATTGGCTCGGATCACTGGCGGAAGAGCAACGCTACGATTGGACGACTGCAGCGCACTCTGGATGGAGGGGACCGCCCTTCGCAAAGCATTCGGAAGTTCCAACTAGTGCAGAGCAAGGATGGTTAATGGAGCTGGTTATCTGGCACACGTAGCCAGCCGCTACTCAAGGAGCTAGCCCTGGTTGCCAGCGTGCTTCCGGGTGCAATTCAAGGAGCTCCCTGTCATTTTGAAACGCCTTCCTGGCTTGGGACGAGGTTGCTCCGTGAGGGATTGTTTCTCCCAGTTGTTTCTATCCATGCAATCTGGTCAAGCAAGATGGACCTGCTTGGATATGCAAGTGGGCTCACATTCCTATGACTCCCAGTGTGTGCAGACACCAGTTTTTGTTTTTTTGTTTTGGTTGCACTAGTGTTTAGGGCAGGGGTCTTCAAACCTGGCCCCTTTATGACTTGTGGACTTCAACTCCCAGAATTCCTCGGCCAGCGTGCTTCAACTCCCAGAATCCCTCAGCCAGGCACGCTGGCTGAGGAATTCTGGGAGTTGAAGTCCACAAGTCATAAAAGGGCCAAGCTTTGAAGACCCCTGGTTTATGGGATATTTTATTTATTTATTTATTTATTTATTTAACATATCCAGCTTTTATTATAAACAGCTCAAGGTGGCAAACGTATCTAATATTCCTCCCTCTTCCTATTTTCCCCACAACCACCCTGTGAGGTGGGTTGGGCTGAGAGACCAGTGTGGCTCCAAGTCAGCCAGCTAACTTTCGTGCCTAAGGCGGGACTCGAACTCACCGTCTCCTGCTGATTGACCCAAAGTCACCTAACTGGCTTTCATACCTAAGGCGGGACTCGAACTCACTGTCTCCTGCTTTCTAGCCTAGTGCCTTAGCACTAGACCAGGGGTCTTCAAACTTGGCCCTTTTATGACTTGTGGACTTCAACTCCCAGAATTCCTCAGCCTGGCTGAGGAATTCTGGGAGTTGAAGTCCACAAGTCATAAAAGGGCCAAGTTTGAAGACCCCTGCACTAGACTAGCCTGGTTCTCTTAGGCGTATTAAATCTGGCAATTATTGCAATTGTTTTTACTTTCATTTTGTTTGCCACTCAGAGTCCTTCTTGAATTTGAATTTGAACTAATAAATAAATACGGTTAACGTTTCTACTTTGTGTGCTTAAACCTTCAGGGAAGTGAGGGCTGTTGACTGATCATCCCTTTGAAAAGGAGATGGAATTCACGCACTACACAGAATCCTGGCTTGATTAACGACGTCTTAACAGCAAAGGAACCCAAACGGGCTGGATCCTTAAATGTACCCAGCCATCCGTTGTGATTTACAACTGCAACGGCTGAGCTCACACAACGGTACTATGCCAAAACTAAACAAACCGCATGACAGCTGAGCAGAAGGGTGAAACACGCCTGTAAGGAGCTGGGTGTGTGCGTGTCAAACTGAATTATGTGTTGTTTTAATGGCACAAGACTGTTTGTTTATCATCCAATTTTTGGCAAGACGGCCCCACAGCAGATGGAAAGGAAGGAAGGCATTCACCATCCAGTCTTGGTTTCTATGTATAGTAGATACAGAATTGAAAGACGTATCGCACCATCCTTGGATCGTGTATAGAAGGAACGTTATTGTTAAATTAAATCCCAAGTGGGTTTTCAGCCAGTTATTTGCCTTCTACATGTTCCCTCTGCCATAGGGGGAAAAAATCTTGCAATTTGGGAGTTATTTCTTGAAATATATTGAGGAGAATTCAAAGCTAGTTCCCCATCTACCTCCTGAATAATGTTTGGATATTGCATGCATTAAATAGGAGCGTGAAGGCATGTCTGGATGAAAACAGCTGTGCTGTAACATAAAGAGGCTCTAACCCCGCAGCGGCCACATCAGGCACCACAATCTCAATATCACACTTCGGCTTGAGCTCCACAGTTATCTGCTGGAGGTCATCTTCCGCTCGGACCTGTTCACGAGTCCTGCAGAATAGGAAAAAATATCCCATTTCACAAATCTTATACAGGCGGTCCTGACTTACAATCGGTAGCTCTGTGACTGTCTGGACTTCCAACAGACACCCCCCCCCAAAGCTACTGATGACTAGATTCAAACTTCCAAGGGCCGTCCACTCACTCCTACCCGTGGTCACATGACCCGTTTGGCGCTCGGCAACCAGCTAGCATTTGCAACTGGTTTGCGGCACGCGTGGTCACGTGACTGCAATTTATGATGCTTTTTGCTGGAAATCAGCATTTACTTTGGCGGGTTAGCTGGCGAATTCTGGGAGGTGAAGTCCACACTTCCTTAAAGTTGCCATGGTTGAGAAACACTGTTCTAGGATATTGCTCTGTTTTTTTTCAGCATTCCCTGCTAAAAAAAGTCTTTTCATTGAAGATAACTTTCTAGGTAAAAGCTATAGTCTGCCAGTCAGTAATGACACCCCCCCCCCCCCCGTCCTTAACCAACAACCCTGAGGGAGATGGGCGATTCAAAACTGTGAAAAATAAATAAATAACAACCCAACTTAGCTAATTATCTATATTAGGTAGGATCGGTTATGACATTTTGTTCCTGTAAGTATGGAGATAGTAAAGCATTAGAGATCTGCGGGACTATTAACATAAGAATGTTAGTCTATGAGGCCTCGTACACATGAGAGTTAAAAAGAATAAAAGAATTGCTGGAATTGGGTATGGCTAGTTTAATGAGGAGAAGGACGAGGGGGGACATGATACCTCAGGGGCTGCCACAAAGAAGAGGGAGTCAAGCTATTCTCCAAAGCACCCGAAGGCAGGACAAGAAACAACGGATGGAAATAATCAAGGAGAGAAGCAACCTAGAACTAAGGAGAAACTTCCTGACAGTGAGAACAATTAACCAGTGGAACAACCTGCCTCCAGAAGCGGTGAATGCTCCAACACTGGAAGTTTTTAAGAAGAAACTGGACAGCCATTTGTCTGAAATGGTATAGGGCAGAAGTAGGCAACCTTGGCTCTTTGATGACTCGTGGACTTCAACTCCCAGAATTCCTGAGCCAGCATGGCTCAGCTTGGAAACTTCTCCCTTTTCCCTCAGCATGGCTGGCTCAGGAATTCTGGGAGTTAAAGTCCACGAGTCATAAAAGAGCCAAGGTTGCCTACTCCTGGTATAGGTTCTCCTGCCTGAGCAGGGGGTTGGACTAGATGACCTCCAAGGTCCCTTCCAACTTTATTATTATTATTATTATTATTATTATTATTTATTACTATTACTATTACTATTACTATTACTACTACTACTACTACTATTATTATTATTATTATTATTATTATTATTATTATTATTATTATTATTATTATTATTATTATTATTATTATTATTATTATTATTGCTGGACTTGCAATGGCACCGAGGGATTCCTAGAGAGGTAGCCAAGAAGGAGAAACTTCCTGACAGTGAGAACAATTAACCAGTGGAACAACCTGCCTCCAGAAGCAGTGAATGCTCCAACACTGGAAGTTTTTAAGAAGAGACTGGACAGCCATTTGTCTGAAATAGTATAGGGTTTCCTGCCTGAGCAGGGGGTTGGACTCGATGACCTCCAAGGTCCCTTCCAACTTTTTTTTTTTTTTAATTATTATTATTATTATTATTATTACTACTACTACTACTACTACTACTACTACTACTACTACTACTACTACTACTACTACTACTATTATTATTTCCAAAAGTATTCAACTCACCTTCCTTCGTGTCCTGAGGACTGTGTGCGCCGCCTGTGAAGGGACATCAGCAAAAAACATACTTCATGAGAATAACTAAAGATGTAGCAAACAGCACCTCCTTTCTCTCTGTCTCATCCAACGTAAGTCCCAAAGGTGCTTTTTTTCAAGAGGCAATTGGACTTTTCTTGTTTTTCTTTGAGGACGTTTCGCTTCTCATCCCAGAAGCTTCTTCGGAGCTGAAAAAGCTGAAGAAGCTTCTTGGATGAGAAGCGAAACGTCTTCATAGAAAAACAAGAAAGTCAAGTAGCTGTTATGGTTCCGACAGATGAAACTCTTCAAAGAACTTTGAGGCATTGTTTACCTTAAAGAGTATTTATTCGAGCAACAACACATCGGCAAGTACACAGTCCAAGCCAAAATCTGACTTCCCCTCCCCTCAGCACATAGTATCAAAGTACAATCCCCTCCTACAACTAACTGTCATAAATCACATTCTCCAATTAGTTTGAAATGCTGGCTTTCCACCCAGTTCTTCATCCCGGCCATACCTTATCATCTCTTATTACAAACAACCTTGGTTCTCACCATTATACAGTATTGTTTTCTCTAACTAATCTCCCATGCACATTCCACCTCCCCCCCCCCAGTATCAACTAATTCTAACTCTAAAAGTAAAACTTAAAGTGAAGGAAAATGGATACATCTCCATATGTTGTCAAAGCAAGAACATCCGATGTTAGCAGCGTTGACAGTTGCCTCTTGAAAAAGTACTTTCGGGATAACCGTGACCTGGATGACTGAGAATCTCCATAAGACATCCAATGTAAGGGCTCCGCCCCTTCTATGAAATAGCCTGAAATGCCTCCACTTATGGCATTCTCAAGAGCCTTTCTGGAACTGGGTGGCGTCTACATGGCAGGTAAAAATCAAGATAAAGGTTTCCCCTTGTCCAGTTGTGTCCAACTGTCCGTTTCTTAGCCGAGAGAACCAGCATTGTCTAAAGACACTTCCATGTTCATGTGGCTAGCATCAAGTACATGCCAAGGTGCACAGAATGCTGTTACCTTTCCACCAAAGTGATATCTGTTTATCTACTGCTGGCTTTCGAACTGCTGGTTGGGCAGGAGCTGGGGCAAGTGACGGGAGCTCAGCCTGTCCCGCAGCACTTAGGTCTCGAACCCAGGCTGTCAGCTTTCCAACGGCTGAGCCATTGCGCCCTCTTACACATGGCAGAGAAAAATAGATAAAGCAAATTTAAGTGGTGAACACCTAGCTCAGTGGTGGCGAACCTATGGCACGGGTGCCAGAGGCGGCACTCAGAGCTCTCTCTGTGGGCATATGCACCGTCTCCCCAGTCCTAGGCTTTCCGCTGGGTTTTATAAAATCTTTTCGCTTTAGGCCTCTGCCGCAGTGTGCAAAAAAAAAAAAAAAAAAGGTTCAATCAATCAATCAACTTCAACTTCTTGTGGGGAAAAAAAAGATCTTGCAAAGTTGGAATTGATTGATTGAACTTTTTAGTCCCACCAGTCTGCCGTTACCACCGCAGCCACGCCCACCCAATGGGCCACGCCCACCTGGCACCCGACGATGCATAAGTGGGTTTTGGGTTGCAGTTTGGGCACTCGGTCTCTAAAAGCTTCGCCATCACTGACCTAGCTTAAGACACCGGAATTAGAATTAGATTGTGCTGTTATAGTGAACTGTATTATTCTATTATTTCTGCCCTTGTTATAAAGGCATTTTTATTACGGGACTATCTGTAAACCTCTCACGGTCCAACCAGATAAATCCCAGCAAATAAATAAATAAATCCATCCTCTCCAAGCTGATACTCCTACTGCCAATTCTTCCAACAGAAGGGGATCTAGAAGGGAGCCGTTTGCTTTCTGGATCTCTGAGACAACTTGAGATCACTTAAGTCAGGGGTCTTCAAACTCGGCCCTTTTATGACTTGTGGACTTCGACTCCCAGAATTCCTCAGCCAGGCACGCGTGCCTGGCTGAGGAATTCTGGGAGTCGAAGTCCACAAGTCATAAAAGGGCCGAGTTTGAAGACCCCTGACTTAAATTCTTGGGAGTACTGGCTAAAAAGGGGGGAAAGCAGGGCGAGAGAGATCTAATCAGGGCTCACCTGTATCTGGGCTGCTCGGAGGATTCGGAAGGAGATCTTTCTGGCACGGAAAGAGATGTGGAAGAGAGCGTGGTTGCTATAGAGGCTGTAGTTGCTTCTTCGAAAGAGGGAGGGGTGCAGGGAAGAAGATCAGGTCGGCCTGTTGTGTCCGTGATGAAGAGAAAGAAAGAAGAAAAAAAGAAAGAATACTGAAGCTGCGAGGGGAAAAAAATCCGCAATCTTCTGGACCATGGCAAATGATCCTTGTACACCTGAAGAGTTCTGATCTACATTATAAGGAGCGTAACCAATTCATAATTTCATTTAAAAGAAACCTGAAGCCATTTGTGGTCTTTCTTTGTTGCAGACAAAACAGAGAAACATGAAAGTCTGTTTCTGCTCAGGAACAGGAGTCGAGATTTTACGTGGCACCTGTTTCCCAATGAATCTGGCACTCTCTTAAGAGGTTTTCGGGAGCGGAGAGCATTAATACAAAATATTTAACTAGCATTCTAAAATGCACAAGATAGTCTCTTTTCGGGCTTCAACATCGCCGACTTCTAAATCCTCCCTCAAAATCCACTTCTATAAATTATCTGTCTTTTATACATGCAAATGCAAACCGCAACTCCTAAGAGCAAAATGCATCAAATTAAAAAGAGAGAGAGAGAGATGGTTAGAAGAGAGATTTGCTCAAGATTAGAGAGAGCCCTGCAGTAGAACCTCAATGTAGAAATTCCTTTTTTTTTCACTTGGTGCTGCTAAGAACTAATTGGTCTTTCTCTCTTCTATACAGTATAAGGTTGCCCTTACTCATTTCCTCTGTTTTTCACCCCCAAAACCGTGTCTTGGATAATATACAGGTAATCCTCGGCTTACGACCATAAATGAGCCTGGAACTATAGTCACAGGTTGTTGTGGTCGTATGTCAAGGCATCCTATGACCGGCTCTGATTTTGGAACATTTTTGGGGGGTAGTCATTAAGTCAACGTTGTGGTGGTTAAATGAATCCATTTCCCCCAATGAGCCTTTTTTTTTTTTGCTGGAAACCGAAAGTAAAAGCCACAAAACGGCAAAAGCATTTGCAAATCATAGTCACAGGATGGTGCAAACAACCATAAAGGTGAGCCAGTTGTTAAAAATGCAAAATGTGATTACATGACCATGGGGGAGGACAGCGTGTATATGTCAGGGGTCTTCAAACTTGGCCCTTTTATGACTTGTGGACTTCAACTCCCAGAATTCCTCAGCCAGCTTTGCTGGCTGAGGAATTCTAGAAGTTGAAGTCCACAAGTCATAAAAGGGCCAAGTTTGAAGACCCCTGGTGTATGCCGTAACTTCCAAAACAACTTGTACATAACTTGGGGAAGGGAAGTTGTTCAAGTGGGCCAGCCGGACCTCATGCCACTAAAATGCCTTGATGAAAATTAACTCCCAGAATTCCAAGCCAGAATCACTTTGGACTGCTTCTCCGGAGGGCCTTAAATTGGGGAAGAATGCCTTTAGATCAGGGGTCTCCAGCCGTGGCAACTTTTAAGACTTGTGGACTTCAATTCCCAGAATTCTCCCGGAATTCCCTCACGAGCCCCGCTGGCTGGGGAATTCTGGGAACTGAAGTCCACAAGTCTTAAAAGTTGCCAAAGTTGGGCCTTGAGTCGTACAGCCTTCTGTTAAAAGTGCTGGGGCACATTTCTGCTGGCAACACTCCCACAGCGTTGTTTGGGAAACCAAGCAAGTCACGTGCAGGAAGGGTTTTGTGTTTTTTTACAAAACAAAAAAAAAGGTACCAGCATCGGCCCATTTTACACGCGTGCTCCCAACGGGGCAAGCACAATTAAGCAGCAATTGGAACTATCGCTCCCAGTTGGTTTTTCCTGCTGGTAGAAATAGCTGCCATCAGGGAGAACTATAAGCAATCTAGCACAGCCTCCAGAGGCCTATAAGCAATCTAGCACTATGGACCCCCCAAGACCGATGGGAACTGAAAGCTCCAGATTAAAGAAACCAGATTCAAACTCTGGTTTAGGATTCTGCCTGGTGAGGAAAGGGAACGCGGATCAGATAAAGTGCTTAGTACACAAATGACCGAGGGCCCTTGGATGCTCTGTGCTTGTTTTCTTGCAGGCATTTCATTACCCAAACTAGGTAACATTATCCGTGCTAGTGGGGTTTGCTCTCGGTTTACATTCTAATGGCTGGTAATTGACTGGCATTGGAAATTGACGGGAATTGACCAACGATTGGAAATTTCTCTGAAGCTTTTCTTGGCCTGGCAAGTAGGAGATGCCAACTGGGAGGGATTAAGCTGCCTGTATTAACCAGCATGCTTGATCATAGACCAGGGGTAGGCAACCTTGGCTCTTTTATGACTCGTGGACTTCAACTCCCAGAATTCCTGAGCCAGCCATGCTGAGGAGAAAGGGAGAGGTTTCCAAGCTGAGCCATATTGGCTCAGGAATTCTGGGAGTTGAAGTCCACGAGTCATAAAAGGGGCAAGTTTGAAGACCCCTGCTCTTAATCTTCGTCCATAGGTTAGGGGTAGGCAACCTTGGCTCTTTTATGACTCGTGGACTTCCAACTCCCAGAATTCCTGAGCCAGCATGGCTCAGCTTGGAAACCTCTCCCTTTCCCCTCAGCATGGCTGGCTCAGGAATTCTGGGAGTTGAAGTCCACGAGTCGTAAAAGAGCCCAGGTTGCCTACCCCTGTCATAGACCATCTTGGCTTGTTTCCATTCTACAAGCGGGATGACTCAAAGCCCGCCCCCTCTCAAGTTCTACTTTCTACAAACTAACAGAGGGACAAATGAGTGTTCTTACCTTCCCCCCTGTCGTGGTTAACTTTAGCACCTGCAAAAGCATAGCAAGAAGTTGAAGGAACGGTGGTGGTGGGATGGTGGGACCTACTGGCACTACGGGGAAAGGGGAAGGGATTTGAGCTGAGCCGAGCCACTAAGGCAGCTATTTTCCCCAACCTGGCCCCCTCCCAGGGTGTTGGGACTCCAATTCCCGGAATTTCCCAGCCGGTTACCTTTGCTAGGAATCCAGGGAATGGCAGGGCCAACCCATTTAAAGGAGGCCAGAACGGGGAAAGCTTGACTGTGGCCTTAGGAGCAGCTCAGGGGGACCCACGATGGAGTGGCCCTGAGTGACCCACAATACCTTCGTCATCTAAGGTGGGGTAACTCCTGGCTCCCCGGAGGTCATACTGCACTTCGTCCTTCTCCGAAGGAATCTGGCTGGCAGAGAACGCAGCCATAGGGCCGGATGGCTTAACAGCTAACAAGGCATTTCGTCCTTTCTTTGAGGGAGATGCTTTCAAGGCTGCAGAGGACAGCAAGGGGTTTAGGGCAATGACGGGCATCGCGGGAGAGGTCAAAGAAAGAAAAGCAAGAAGGTCCTGTTAAAAGAGAAAACACGCCCACCCTTCCCCTGAAAATAACGGGCATTTTCTCCCCCTCCCCGCGAGAAATTAAGAGCCTTCGAACCAAATTAGTAGTCATCTACTAATTCAGGGCTTTTCAACCAGTGGTACGGGTACCACCTGTGGTACATTGGCACCTGGCAGGTGGTACGCGACCATCCTAGAAAAGTGGTAGCGGGGGAGGGGAATGAGCTGAACGTGGCAGCACCGCACAAGCCTGAGCGAGAGATGGCTGGAGCTGCAGGGCTGTCAGGGCTCAGCGGAAGCGCCAGGATCAGTGCTGCTTTCCAGCTGATCGGCGCTTCTTCGGGGCTGTCAGGGCTCAGCGGAAGCGCCAGGATCAACACCAGGCTCCAGCTGGAGCTCGGCGCTGATCCTGGCCCTTCTGCTGAGCCCAGAAGAAGCACCAATAAGCTGGAGTTCAGCGCTGATCCTGGTGCTTCTGCTGAGCCCAGAAGAAGCGCCGATCAGCTGGAATGTTGCAGCCTCTCCAGGGTCTTGTGATTTACATTCAGATGCTTGGCAACTGATTCATATTTCTGACGGTCACAGTGTCCCAGGGTCATGTGAAGTGACCAAAACCTGCTGCAACCACCCAGCAGACGGGGGGAATAAAAACCAAACACCCCCCACCCCACCCCTGCTGCTAATCCTCAACAGAAATGCTCACAACAATGAAAACCTCGGACAGGAGGAAGAGCGCCGCCGGGTGGGCAGGCAGGTGTCTTGCTCAGCTGTGGCTTGGGGGGCACTTTTTTCAGTACCATTTTTTTTGTCATCAAGTTTTTGACACCTTGCTAGGCGACTGGTGGTACTCGGATATTGCCATATCCTAAAAGTGGTACAATGGGTAAAAAGATTGAAAAGCCCTGTACTAATGATCACCTGTTTGGCTACTAACTCTCTTTTTGTCTCTTTTTACCTGAAAAGGTGTTTCTCAACCGTGGCCACTTTACAATCTGTGGACTTCAATTCCCAGAATCCCCCAGCCAAGGTTGAGAAAAAAAAGCAGATTGGAGAAAGCGCCAGAGAGATTTCTAGACCCTTATTTTAAAAGATAATCTTTTTTTCTGCTAAAATTAGAAAATTCTTAATTTTTTTTCTTCTTCAGTGCGGTTGATGTATGTTCTCTAGGTATGATCATTTGCATGTAAAATAGCCCAGGTTCGGTCTCCTGACTTATTCCTAGAAGGGTCTCATGTAATAAATGATGGGAAAGGATCTTCAGGCCCAGAAAAGCCACTTTCAGCCAGAAGAAACCAGCATGGATGAAATGAACAAATTCTTGGGCCTGACCGAAAGACAATCCCTATATTCTTAATTGATAGCGGAAGGGTACTCATAAAACAGGGATTGGCAATGGATGGTAGGTAGGCCGGGATCCAAAATGTCACTGCCCTTGACAATTCAACGAATGGACTTCAACTCTGGGCAAAGGATGGATCAGAAAAATTCAGAAGTAATTAGATCCCCGGAATCAAATCGTTGCTGGCCCTACAAAGCTTTCTTTCTTGCTAATCTGATTTCCTAGCTCATCTGCCACTCACAGGAGTTGCTGCAAAGAATGAACACAACATGAGCAGAGGGAAGAATTGATTATCTGTTTGGGCTGCTTCAAAAGGAGATGATGTAGGTATTACAAGCAGTCCTCATTTAGTGACCAAAATGGGGAACCACCATTTGGTCATTAAGCAAAGCAGTCACGAAGTGAAACTGTGCTTATCGTGCTTCAACTTTCCTTTGCTTTATAGACATACAAAGATTGTAAATGTGAGTATTCGTTGCAAAGTTGTTGTTTTTTCATAATTGTCTTGAGTGCAAATGGTTACTAAGTGAGGCACTTGCTAAAAGAGGACTACATTATCGCAGACTTAGAAAGGGGATGAGGTAGACATGAGGCAGGCAGGAAATAGCCTTATCTTTATATGGTACTGTCAGCCCTACAAGGTAAGCAAGATCAAGAAACCAACTTCACAGGAAGACTATACAGATAGTCCTTAACTTACAACCATTCGTTTAGTGAACATTTGAAGTTACGACACTGAAAAAAGGGGACTTATGACCGGTTTTCCCACTTACAACCGTTGCAGCATCCCAATGGTCAGGTGATCAAAATTCGCTTGGCAACTGGCACGGACTTATGACAGTTGCACTGCCCCAGAGCCATGTGATTACCATTTGTCACCTTCTCACCTGGCTTCTGAGAAGCAAAATCAATGGGGGAAAAGCTAGATTTGATAAATGCCCTGACTCGCTTAAGAACTGTAGCAAAAAAGGTTGCAAAATGGGGCAAAACTCACCTAACCTCTGCCATGCTTAGCAAGGGAAAATTTTGGTTACAATTGTGGTCGTACGTTGAGGACTATCGGTAACTATACTACCTAGGGCAGGGGTAGGCAACCTTGGCTCTTTTATGACTCGTGGACTTCAACTCCCAGAATTCCTAAGCCAGCATGGCTCAGCTTGGAAACCTCTCCCTTTCCTCTCAGCATGGCTGGCTCAGGAATTCTGGGAGTTGAAGTCCACGAGTCATAAAAGAGCCAAGGTTGCCTACCCCTGACATAGGTAGTCCTCGAAGTATGACGACAACTGAGCCAAACATTTCTGTTGCTAAGCGAGACATTTGCTAAACGAATTCGGCCCCATTTTACGACCTTTCTTGCCACAGCTGTTAAGGGAATCACTGCAGTTGTGAAGTTAGTAACCTGGCTGTTAAGTGAATCTGGCTTCCCCCACTGACTTTGCTTGTCAAAAAAGTCACAAAAGGGGATCACGTGATCTTGGGTCACTGCAAACGTCATAAATATGAGTCAGCTGCCAAGGGCCCCAATTTTGACCTTGTAACCACAGGGTTGCAATGGTTGTAAGTATAAAAAACCGTCATAAGTCACTTTTTCCAGTGCTGTCGTAACTTTGAACAGTCACTAAACAAATGGTTGTAAGTCGAAGACTACCGATATGACTATAGTTTATTGAGACAGGATCTTGCCAGGGAATCAGGGGAGAGTCTGAGTCTCTTTCTAACGTAGCGGCCCCCAACCTTTTCTATACCCCGCACCCCTAGAACACTTCTGATATATTCTCGCATCCCTTACAAAAGTTCAAAATAACGGCAACGAATTATGCATATACAGTAGTGGCCAAAATTGTGGAAACCTTTTGGGAAAAGTGTACAGTAGAAATGCCACCTTTAGTTAAGTTTACCCACCAATTTTTCTTCTAATTTCTTTATAACTGTAGCCTTGTTCATTTAATAATACTATTTTTCCATCGCTTTCTGGGCGACCAGTCAACTCTTTGCACCGTTACTTTAATTTTATTACGTTTTACAAGCTCACTCAATGAAAGAACACAAAAAAAACCAACCAACTTGATAGTGATCACATAACACACTGACAAATGTCCTCCTCTCGGCTTCAATACATGACATCAATCACTGGATCCTACTGTGATCTGATTGGCTCACTGCCAAAACAAGATGACACCCGATTGGCTCTCTAAACACTCATGCTCATTGGCTACAATCAGAGGAAGGAAAGCTACCTGATATTGACCTAAGCCAGTTGTGCTTCCTTTTTCTGGTTATTTGGCTATAACTTTTCATAGAATACAGTACAGATAACTGAACAAACTATGTTGCATTACATTCTTGATTGAATTATCTTTCCATTGATATATAATGTTATGGTACTACTCCAAAAACAAGTGGTGTTATTAGCCATCAAACCTCAAAGGTACACTTTTCCCAAAAGGTTTCCACGATTTTGGCCACTACTGTACACTATAATTTTGAAAACCCAAGTTTTCACACCCCCTGGAATATAGTCTCGCAACTCCAAGGGGCTACGAGCACTCCCGGCTGGGAACCCCTGTTCTAACGCTTTCCCTCCTCCATGCCCCCCCCCCATCAAGGCAGGTTTGTGCATCTGCTGTTGTCTTAATCCTTCTGGGTAGTTTCTCCAAGGTTCTCTCCATAGCTCCCTACAGCTGCTCCTTTAACCAGCAAGCATCTTCAACACCCCACCACCTGTAAATGCCTCCAATGAAAGCAGCAGACACTTACAAGAGCTTTTCCTGAACACTGTATTGGTCATAAACTTGAAGAATCTTTCTGCATAGAAGCTGGGCCTGTGGACCGACACCGTGTCCTAGAAAAACAGGAAAGGGACAAAGGTTTTTGTAAAAATGTTATCTGTTAACAAAACCATGGCTCTGGGGGAAAGTAATCAGACTTCAGGATTGATAAAAAAAAATGTTATCAGTACACTATAATACAAGTGCAGACGACGGATGTTTTTGAAAATTATTCCAAGCAAATTTCCCAAGTTCAAACTGAAACTAGAAGAAATTTAAGGCTTTAAGGAATAGCCAAGAACAGAAACCTAATTTCTATAAGGAGACATGAAAGTCTCTACAGCTGCGTGCAGACACATCGTGCAACCCACACAGTAAGCTTAAACCAAACCCATACACAGAATAATAACAATAACAACAACAACAACAACAACAACAACAACAATAATAATAAAGCTGGAAGAGACCTTGGAGGTCATCTAGTCCAACCCCCTGCTCAGGCAGGAAACCCTATACTATTTCAGATAAATGGCTGTCCAATCTCTTCTTAAAGACTTCCAGTGTTGGGAGCATTTACCGCTTCTGGAGGCAGGTTGTTCCACTGGTTAATTGTTCTAACTATCAGGAAGTTTCTCCTTAGTTCTAGGTTGCTTCTCTCCTTACTCAGTTTCCATACATTGCTTCTTGTCCTGCCTTCAGGCGCCTTGGAGAATAGCTTGACTCCCTCTTCTTTGGGGCAGCCCCTGAGATATTGGAACACTGCTATCCTGTCCCCCCTCGTCCTTCTCTTCATTAAACAGGACATCCCCAATTCCAGCAACCGTTCCTTATATGTTTTAGCCTCTAGTCCCCTAATCATCTTTGTTGCTCTTCTCTGTACTCTTTCGAGAGTCACAGCATCTTTTTTACATCGTGGTGACCAAAACTGGATGCCGTATTCCAAGTGTGGCCTTACCAAGGCATTGTAAAGTGGTATTAACACTTCATGTTTGTTTGTCTACTCAGTAAGTTTCCAGTCCCCTAAAGAGGGTGTGGATTCCCCAATTCTGGAGGTTATTAATTCTCAAGGATAGTTTAATTGCCTTACCTGCCTATGGCTGGATTAGATGATCTTTGGGATCCCTTCCAATTCCATCATTCTATAGATTTCAATTGATTTTTTGCAGAGAATTGGACTAGATGATCCTAATGGTCCCTCTGAATTCCCCAATACTATGATTCTGAGTCTATGAAACCTCAAATCGCTCTTTCCTAGCTATACTGCTTAAGACAACTTTCACCAATAAGCCATGATTATGGACTGATATGTTTTCGGAATATATTGTCTGTTATGGCAGGGGTCCCCAACCCCCAGTTTCTGGACTGGCACCAGGCCGCGGCATTACAGCAACCGGGCCGCGCAAACAAGCGAAGCCCCATCCGCGGGATGCAGGCGGCACACGAAACCACGCCCCTTCCGGTCCGTGGAAAAATCTCTCCATAGAACCAGTCCCTGGTGCCCAAAAGGTTGGGGCCCTGTGTGTTATGGTACTGAGAATTACAGAACACAAGTGCCCCATAACTGTTTACACCAGTGGTTCTCAACCTGTGGTCCGCAGACCCTGGGGGGGGCCACAATGTCGTCACAAGTAGTCCGCGAAGGCTTGAAGAAATGTTATAGTTTAAATCTTGAGTCAAGTCTTGGGAGTCCGTGGCCACAAAAGGTATTTAAAGAGGGTCTGTAGTGAAGAAAAGATTGAGAACCACTGGTTTACATCTTCTTTATTGGGTAGATTAATTTCCTCTGCTAGTTCCCTTCGGGTGGCAGCATAACCAAGGACAACATGGGATCACTCTTAGGACAAGCCACCATTTGGTACCGTTCAGTTGGGCTCCAACTTACCCCATCGTGGACAAGAGCTTTCCACGTATGCTCCAGTTTCTTGATTAACCTGGAAGGAAGAGACAAGCAAAGGATTGAGCGGGGAAAGAGAAGAACCAAATTAAAACAGGGCCAAACACCAGTCTCTTCTCTGGGTGCACTCAGAGTGCGGCCAAAAAAGTCAAGGTGACAGCCATAATGATGCAATCAAAGCTCCACAGTCACTCTGGTCAGTGAGATGGATGGCACATAAATGTAATAAATAAATGAAAGAATGCCCTGAGTTCCCAAAGAGGAACAGGATGTGGGGCATACCTGTAGGACTGGAGAATATCGATGATTCCGACGTGCAGCAGCAGACGCTCCCCTCTGCCATTCACGGCTGGAATGCCCCCCATTCTGAAAGGACAGAGGGCAGAAAATTACTATCTATTTGCTCAGTTAAAGTTAGAACCAGTTTGGTCTAGTGGTGAAGGCACCAGGCTACAAAGTAGGAGTTCTAGTCCCACCTTAGCCATGAAAGCTGGCTGGGTGACTTTGGGCCAATCACCAGGAGATTGGGAATTCTAGTCCCACCTTAGCCATGAAAGCCAGCTGGGTGACTTTGGGCCAATCACCAGGAGATTGGGAATTCTAGTCCCGCCTTAGGCATGAAAGCCAGCTGGGTGACTTTGGGCCAATCACCAGGAGATTGGGAATTCTAGTCCCGCCTTAGGCATGAAAGCCCGCTGGGTAACTTTGGGCCAATCACTCAGCCTAAACCACTTCAGAGGGTTGTGGTAGGAAAAAATATGAGGAAGATGTGTTGATAGATAGATTAGATAGATGACAGATAGATGACAGATAGATAGATAGATAGATAGATAGATAGATAGATAGATAGATAGATAGATAGATAGATATAGACAGACAGACAGACAGACAGACAGACAGACAGACAGACAGACAGACAGACAGACAGACAGACAGACAGACAGACAGACAGACAGACAGACAGATAACCTTTGTCATTTTTTACTGTGGGCACAATGGCACATATTAAAAATGAAATTTAGTTGCTTGCTCTCAAAGTGTATGCATACATAACACATTTAAATATACTATATACAACATATGTATAGACCTACAGCCTTAGATATAAGTAACATATAAATATTAATCACTGTCCATCTTGAATATATAACGGAACGAGGAAACTTTATTCACAAGGTTGATACTGTATGGAACAAAGCTGTGACTGAATCTGGATGTTCTGCTTCAGATACCACGAAGCCCCCTCCTCCCAGAAGGTAACAAAGAAAACAGGTCGTGAAGAGGGTGTGTCATGTCCCAGACAATCCTGCAGACCCTGCTGAAGCAACACTTATGTGCTATGTCCTGGATGGGAGGGAGGGAACTGACAATGATCTTTTCAGCCCTCCTCACCACTCTCTGCACCGCCTTCCTGTCTGAAGTAGTGATGCTTCCAAACCAGACTGTGATGCTGTATGACAGGATGCTCTTGATCGTCCCTCTGTAGAAAGTGGTAAGGACAGGGGAAGGAAGATGTGCTTTTCTCATGTGATGCAAAAAATGCAGGCGCTGCTACGCCTGCTTCACCAGTGTCTCGCTGTTGAGCGACCAAGCCAGCCTACTTGTTAACTGCACACCCAGGAATTTGATGTTGGTAACCACCTCCACAGGTGAATCATTAATGCACAGAGGAGTGCAGCTATGCCTGCCTTTTCTGAAATCGACAATGATCTCTTTGGTTTTTCCAATGTTTAAAACTAGGCTGTTTTCCTTACACCAGGTTCACCAAACCCTCAACCTCCTTGTGGTAAGCACCCTCATTGTCATCTTGAATAAGGCCCACCATTGTTGTATCATCCGCATACTTCACAATATGGTTGGTGGCAAACCTAGCACAACAGTCATGGGTCAACAGGGTGAACAGAGTATTTGGTGCCTTATTTGTAAAATAATAAAGGTGGAATACAAATGAACAAATAAAGTCATAGATGCAATGCCCAGCTTCCACTTTACACTCTGCTAAACAAAATGGGTTAAATTTTAATGCTTAAAATGACCCACAGCTGTGTGAACTGCCTCAAGATGCTTAGGCTGCCCATCTGTGCAGGGGCCCACACGCTCTTACTTTCTTCTCTTTGCTCTCTCACGCATGATCAAATATAATTAAATCCAAGGGAATAATTATTACAAAACTTACACAGGCCGGTCTATCCTTGGAATAACACGCAGTCATGTTGTGGATCTGCATGTGTGACACGGGGAGACCTTTTCTAATTGTGTGTATCATTAAATAAGTGTAGGAAAGCATTTAGAATCAGTTCTGGGTCATTTTCTTTGCTTTTTTTAAAAAAAATCCCACTGAATGTACTAAAAAACTGCTGAGATGATAAAACTCTGCACGAACAGTTCTAGTAGGACAAACTGCATTCTGTCTTTGTAGGAACTGGCCGATGCCCTGAAAGCCCTACTTTCAATTAAGTTTAACAATGTTAAATCATCCTTTCCTCTTTTACCTTCTTAACATTTATATCCTGTTTTTATATTTGAATATTCTATTATATACCACCCAGAGCCCCTCCTTGAGGGAGATGGACAGTTTAAAAAATGGGAAAAATAAAATGAAATAACTAAATACATGCCAGTTGCCAGGCATCCAAATCCAAGCGATTTGCCTAATGACGTGGTGATTTGCTTAAGGACCGCAGCAAAAAGAGCCGCAATGTTGGGCACAACTGACTTAACGACCACATTGCTTAGCAATGGAAATTCAAGTCCAATGGTGGTCATAAGTCAAGGACTACCTGTGGTGTTACAACTCCCATCATCTCCAGCCATTGCAGTCCCTGGGGAGGAAGGTCACACAATGCACCACGATTTGGACTCGCACTCATTTACTGAGGCTGTAACACGTTAGACTAATTCAGGGGTCTTCAAACTTGGCCCTTTTATGACTTGTGGACTTCAACTCCAAGAATTCCTCAGTCAACCTGGACCCAACCATCTGGCTGAGGAATTCTGGGAGTTGAAGTCCACAAGTCATAAAAGGGCCAAGTTTGAAGACCCCTGGGCTAATTTTTTACTGAGACAGATTTAGCTGCAATTGGGGATCTGAGTGACACCCAAATTTGTCGCTGCAAAGAATTGGCTGAATCACTGCAAAGAATCAAATGCTGATGCGAATTCAACACAATGGCCTCTCATTTAGGGCAACGAATTCAACACAATGGCCTCTCATTTAGGGCAACGGGAGCTGGCAATCTTCCAGGGATTTCAGCTGTTCCGAATTGCATTCTCCAATATTCCTCATGTTCTGAAATCTCTCTTTAAGCACTTGAGTTGGGAGAGACGATCCTCTCTCTCCAGAACCCCCCCCCAAAAAAGCTCCAAGAGAGAGAAAAAAGAGAAGAGCACTTAAACACAATCATCCCCCCCGCCCCCGCCCCCCAAAAGAGATGTAGATGCCAGGCTTTGTGAGCGTAGCTGAAGATTTCTCTCCTCCCCCCCGCCCCAGAAGCTGGCAAAAGCATAAAGAGATTATAAATACGTTAGCCCGCCACCACTGTTGCACATTCACACATTCCTCTGTCTCCAGGGCAGTAACATCCTTGTGGTTATGCTACTGAAATGAATTTCCTTCGGATGGAAGGTAACACGGGTAGTCCTCAACTTACAACCGCTTTGTTTAGTGACCGTTTGACATTACAAGGGCACTGAAAAAAAGCGACCTAGGACTGGTTTTCACACTCACAACTATTGCACCATCCCTAGATGATCCCATGACCAAAATTCAAGTACTTGTCAACTGGCAGGTATTTACGATGGCTGCAGTGTCCTATGATTTTCCCAGTTGCAATGTATGGATGTGAAAGTTGGACCATAAGAAAGGCTGAGCGCCAAAGAATTGAGGCCTTTGAACTACGGTGCTGGAGAAGACTCCTGCGGGTCCCCTGGACTGCAAGGCGATCCAACCGGTCAGTCCTAGAGGAGATCAACCCCGACTGCTCTTTAGAAGGCCAGATCCTGAAGTTGAAACTCAAATACTTTGGCCACCTAATGAGAAGGGAGGACTCACTGGAGAAGAGCCTGATGCTGGGAAAGATTGAGAGCAATAGAAGAAGGGGACGACAGAGAAGGAGGTGGCTGGATGGAGTCACTGAAGCAGCAGAACTGGGGTTATTTAAAACTTGGAAATTATGAATATTAAACGTTAAATTTAAATATTAATGGGAAACTAAAAAATGGGAAAAACTAATTAGGACATTGATTGTCTATAACGATTGAATGTTAAAATAACTAGGATATATATAAACTAAAAATTATTGATAAATGTAAGAAAGTTATTTTTTATTTAATCGATATAATAAGAATTGTATTAGTTTAAATATGAGGCAGTAAATACTAAGGGGAAAAGAGAGGAAATATTTAATGTAATAGTTTGAGACCTGTACTAAAGATGTATGTTATTGTATGTTATTGAATTATCGATTAACTCAGCCGCCACCTTGCTTTTTAAATATTCAAATGTAAAACTAGAAAATCAGTAAAATTTTCTGTAAAAAAAAAAAGAATATTTTAGAGCCAACATCCAATCTATTGGATGAGAACTTGACTGGCAAGAGTTCTAAGACAGGCCTCTTCCAAGACTGGCTTGCAACAAACCCCATCCGTACACAAAAGAATCGGTCTCACGAAACATCTAGCCCCATGGTGGTGAACCTATGGCACACGTGCCACAGGCGGCACTCAGAGCCCTCTCTGTGGGCACGCGCACCGTCGCCCCAGTCCTAGGCCTTCAGCTGGATTTTATAAAATCTTGCCTCCGCCGTGTGCAAAAATAAATAATCAATCAATTTCAACTTCTCGCGGGAAAAAAAAGATCTCGCAAAGTTGGAATTGATTGATTGAACTTTTTAGTCCCACCCAGTCTGCCGTTACCACCGCAGCCACGCCCACCCAATGGGCCACGCCCACCCGGCACCAGACAATACATAAGTGGGTTTTAGGTTGCAGTTTGGGCACTCGGTCTCTAAAAGGTTCGCCATCACTGATCTAGCCCATCTGGAGGGCCCAACTGTTCCCAGAAGGGCAGAAAACAAGCAGACTTAAGCTACTGACAGAAGAATCAGTTTGATGTAGTGGTTAAAAGCACCAGGCTAGAAACTGGGGTGAGTGTGAATTCTAGTTCCATCTTAGGCACCAAGTCAACTGGGAGACTTTGGACCGGTCTCTTGCTTTCCACCCTAGGAAAGTGACAATGGCCAACCGCTTCCAAAAATGGTGCCAAGAAAACTGGAGGAACTTGTCCAAGCAGTTGGCAGAAATCAAGACTGACTTAAAATACACAACGCTATATAAAGCCTTACCAAGCCAAGGAACCATCTTTTCAATCAGACACAAAAAGGACATTAGCCTGGGACAGTGATCTGCATTCTCAACTTCGGAGGTCTCCACAGGGCATGGAGAGTCACAATGGTGGGACGGGATGGTGTGGTAAAAGCCCTGTTTTTTTATATACCATATATAAACCATATATATAAAAAAGTAGAGCTTCAATTGCAGAATTGTGGTCAGCATCTTGACCATGCCCTGTGGATGCCCCTGAACTCCTTGGTTAGAAGTTTTTCCCCTATCCCCAACCGTTCCAGATCATTACATTTTGAGCAACGTAACCACATTATTCATAGAACAAGTCCTTGCAGACCCCAAGCCAGCATGCTAAAACCTTCCCTGGACATCTGCTTGGAAGAGTCAGCAATACGGGCATTGAATTATGATCAAAACTGAGCTCAACACTTCTGTAGCTAAGCAAGACTGTTGTTAAGTGAGTTTTCCCTCTGGTACGACCTTCCTTGCATTGTTATTAAGCGAAGCACAATTAACCAGTGGAACAACCTGCCTCCAGAAGCGGTGAATGCTCCAACACTGGATGTTTTTAAGAAGAAACTGGACAGCCATTTGTCTGAAATGGTATAGGGTTTCCTGCCTGAGCAGGGGGGTTGGACTCGATGACCTCCAAGGTCCCTTCCAAGTGTATTATTATTATTATTATTATTATTATTATTATTATTATTATTATTATTATTATTATTATTATTATTATTATTATTATTATCATTATCATTATCATTATCATTATCATTATCATTATCATTATTTGTTGTTAAGTTTGCATCATAGCTGTTAAATGAATCTGGCTTTCCCCATTGACTTTGTTTGTCAGAAGGTTGCAAAAGGTGATCAGGTGACACACACACACCCCGGATCACTGCAACCACCATAAGTACATGCCAGTTGCCAAGCATCCAAATTTGAATCACGTGACCAGGGGGATGCTGCAACAGTTAAGTGTGGGAAACGGTCATAAGCCGCTTTTCGTCAGTGCCGTTGTTAACTTCGAATGGCCACTAAATGAACAGTGGTAAGTCGAGGACTGCCCGCCCTCAAAACTGCCGGCGTGACTTACGTGTCATCCGTGTCAATGGGCTCCCCTCGAGCAGCCCCACCTTGGATCGACTCCATGGCGGTGGAATACAGAGCCTTCTGCCCCACGGGGCGTTTTTCATCCGACATGCTCTGGGCACCGTCAACTTGTCGTTCCCGTTCCTGCTGATCTATGTTGTGTACCCCGAGGAGCAGGCTGTAATCCATGATTTTAAAACTCTCTAGCACCTGAAGGTTACGGGAGGGAAAAAAAAGGAGAAACCACAATCAAAGCTAGGGAGGGGCTAACGCCTGCTAGGTTGACAGCTCTGATTCTCCTTCAGAACCATCTGCAGCACGACGGAGCTTAGGAGGGCTGCAAAGGCATTACAGGTCGTCTGTCGACTTCTGACGGTTTGGACCAGAGCTTCCGTTGCTAAGTAAAGTAGTTGTTAAGTGAGTCATGCCCAATTTTACAATTTTTTTGGGTCACAGTATGTTTTAAGCAAATCGCTGCAGTTTGTTAAGTGAATTGTGTGGTCGTTAAGCAAAACTGGCTTTCCCACACTGACTTTTCTTGTTGGAAGCTGCTGGGAAGGTCGCGAATGGCGATCAGGTGACCCCCAGGATGCTGCAACCGTTATAAATTCCCTGTTTCCCCGAAATTTAAGGCCTACACCAGGGGTAGGCAACCTCGGCTCTTTTACGACTCATGGACTTCAACTCCCAGAATTCCTGAGCCAGCATGGTTCAGCTTGAAAACCTCTCCCTTTCCCCTCAGCGTGGCTGGCTCAGGAATTCTGGGAGTTGAAGTCCACGAGTCATAAAAGAGCCGAGGTTGCCTACCCCTGGCCTACACCGAAAATAAGCCCTAGCTTGATTTTGGGGGTGGGGCTAATATAAGCCCTACCTCAAAAATAAGACCTAGTTTTGGGTGAGGCACATACCTAAAAATCAAGCTGGGGTGGGGGTGGGGGGTGGAGCTGCCCCACACACCCCGCACCCACTCACCTTGCAGCTAGGCCTCTCCTCGCTAGCCCACTTCTGTGGCGTCTTCTGCAGCCAGGCCTGCATTTCTCAGTCACAGACCTTTCCGGAAGGCCACTGCAGCCGAGAACTGAGCTATGGATTCAATCCATAGCTCGGTACTCGGCTGCAAAGGCCTTCCAAAAAGGCCTGACTGCAAAATGCAGGCCGGAATGCAGCTGCAGAACGAAGCTGCTCCTTTGGTGAGGAGAAGTGGGCCGGCTGGGTGGGGCTGTCGGTGCCAGAGCTGAGTACAAAAGACACCCCCTGAAAATAAGACCTGGTGCCTCTTTTGGAGGCAAAAAAAAAGATCCAGGTAGATGCCGGTTGCTAAGTGTCTGAATTTTGATCATGTGACCCTGCGGATGCTGCAGTGGTCCTAAGTGGGAGGATGGGACGTAAGTCCCTTTTTTCCAGTGCTGTTGTAACTTTGAATGGTTGCTAAACAAATGATTGTTAAGACTGCATGTACTCCCTCTTTTTGCTGTGTTGTTAACAATACATCACTATGAATCATGCAAGGATGGCTGGTCACCACCTCCTCCTCCTCCTCCTCCTCGACTTACCAAACAGTCCCTTTGTAACGTCTTCACCAGAGCGTTGAAGGTATCTGCGTCCAGCATGATGCCCTCGGGCATATCCTGCATGAAATCCAAATCTTTGTAGGTGGGGCTCGACTTATCCTTCTCTTTCTTGGACGCCCGGCGTTTGTAGGTGGAGCCCTTGAGGTCGTATTTCAGGTGCATCTTCACCACCCGGGGCAGGATGTTATTCATCACCACCACGCGGATGTTTTTGCCCCCGGATTGGACGCAGTAGAGACCGTAGAACTTTGGCAGCAACGTCCGCGGATTCTGGTTCAAGTTCTAGAGGGAGATTTTGAAAAGGTGCATAGAAGAATGCTGGGTGTTAAGACCTGATCTTCATGCGTTTGACCATCCAACTTTGCACCTGAGAGACCTGGGGCTCCTAGTGGAAAAGAAACTGTATCCTTCAACCTCTTCCTCCGTCTTCTGAGTTTGCTTTTTATTAGGTTTTTTTATCCTACCTTTATTATTTTTATAAATAACTCAAGGCAGCAAACATACCTAAGATTCCTTCCTCTTCCTATTTTCCTCACAACAACCCTGTGAGGTGGGTTGGGCTGGGAGAGGGACTGGCTAAAATTCACCTAGCCGGCTTGCATGCCTAAAGTGGGATTGGAACTCACCTGATGATTGGTCCCAAGTCATTCAACTGGCTTTCATGCCTAAGGCGGCACTAGAACTCACGTCTCCTGGTTTCTAGCCTAGCGCCTTAATTACTAGATCAAACTGGCTCCTATTTATTTATTAAATTTATATGCCACCCATCTCACTATCGAGTTACTCTGGCTGGGCTGAAAGTTTTGTTTCTAGGTTATAGTACACTGCTCGGTTTCATGTCAGCATACGTCCAATTTAGTTACTGATATGCGTGTGTCTGCTGCCTATTCATACAATTCCAGGACCAGAATATTCTAGAACATTCAAATCACATTCCAGGCCGTGCCAATTCATACATCTCTTCCTGGAATGATCTGGGGGGGGGGGGGAGGTTCTGGATGTTTATTCCTCTGAGCTTTTCCCAGTTTGGGATTAAATTCTGGAAAACAGGTTTCATCTGCATCAAGAGGGTCTAATGGGAAAAACAGCCCTTCTACACAATGATAGGCTTTGCCCATTCTTCCCTTTCATACAGATACATTTTCCAAACTCTAAAAGCCTACAAGGGACAGGGTCATACCATACATACCATATAATAACCCGGAAGAAGTTTCTGGAGGAACTCTGCCTCTTTGTGCATCACAGTCTTGATGATGAATTCATCGTCGCTGGTGACATAGAAGAGGGAGCCGCTGGCCCCAGGATTGGAGAGCTCGATCAGCGGCTCGTTGCACAAGGAATACTGAGAAGGCAAGAAGAATTCAACAGCACGTGAGAAAGAATATCAGTACAGGTAATCCTCGAGTTACGAGTGTAATGGAGCCTGCCCATTCCACTCGTAAATGAAAACTTGTGGGAGTGAATCTCATAACTGATAGCTCGTTAAGTGAACATGAGTTATCTCAGGGTGGGGAAGGCCATGGAGGGCCTAGTCATGGAACAGGCCAAGGCCTCCCAAACCCACTAAGATACCTCATGCTTCCCCATCCCTTCCTGCCGCACCAGACTCACTTTGAAAAGATCTGTCTCCTCTCTGCCTTGGTTCCTGCTGCCACCCGGATCTAAGGCCGGGGGACACTTCCGCGTGCCTCCGGAGGCCGGATTGGGGCACCAGAGGCCTTTTCCAGGCTGCTGTCTCCTGGATCTGAGGCCAGGGGATGCTTCCATGGCTCTCTGGCAGGCCGTTTCCAGGTGGCAGCAGCCTGGAGAAAGCCTCTGGCGCCCAGATTGGGCCACCGGAGGGCCACGAAGCATCCCTCGGTCTCAGATCTGGGCGGCGGCAGCCTGGAAAAGGCTTCCAATGTCCCGATCCAGCCTCCGGAGGCAAATGGAAGCGTCCCCCGGGTTCTGTTCTCTGTTGCAGAGAACAGAGGCCTAAACTACTATGAGATCACACGAGATCAGTAGCATGACATCTCGCCCCACGGATTTCGCATTATCTCATGGTACTTTAGGCCTCCATTGTCTGTGAACACAACGAAGGCCTGGAGCAGCCAAGAAAGCAAAGGATCTCGATCTTTGCAGGGTGATTATTGAAGGCCTGGTGCCTAGGGAGACCCGGGGCGGGGGTGGGGAGGGAGGGAATAACCAGGGTGAATGTTGCAGAGTCTCTGCGATTGCTCGTAAGAGCGAACGACTGCCGTGGTGCTGCAATATTCGTAATTTTGGGACTTGCTCGTAAGCATTAGGGGGCGCTTATTGCGTAACTTCGAACACTCGTAACTCGGGAATTACCTGTAGACTTCTCCCTATTTGCTCATCCCAGCTGAAAGGCCCAGACCCATGCATTCCATAGGTCAGTGATGGTGAATCTTTTAGAGACCGAGTGCCCCAAAACTGCTCCTGCCCCCACCTTGCATCCACACGCCACCGCTGGTCCCCCGCTCAGGCCCCTGCTCTGCCCACCCCCAGGGCCATCCACCACCTCCACAGCCCACCGCAGATCGCCCAGGTGGCCCAGCAGCACCATGGCAGCTACACCCTCTGCCCGCACCCCGCAGCATCAACTGCGTGCAACGGGGTGCGAGGGCGGAGTCTTTTCCCCGTTGCCTGGTTGCCATGTCCTTGGTTGCGCTGCTCCATGCGGGCCGTGCCCAGGGGTGACTCTCCTACGTGGGGGCTGCTGATGAGGAGGGGGCCATGGGGGGAGGCGGGGCTGAGGCGATGGTGCACGTGCCCACAGAGAGGGCTCTGAGTGCCACCTCTGGCACGCATGCCATAGGTCAGTGGTGGCAAACCTATGGCACAGGTGCCAGAGGCGGCACTCAGAGCCCTCTCTGTGGGCACACGCGTAGTCGCCCCAGTCCTAGGCCTTCAGCTGGGTTTTATAAAACCTTTTCGCTTTAGGCCTCCACCGCCATGTCCCCCCCTCAAAAGGTTCAATCAATAAGTCAATTTCAACTTCTCGCAGGAAAACAACAGATCTTGCAAAGTTGGAATTGATTGATTGAACTTTTTAGTCCCGCCCAGTTCTGCCGTTACCACTGCAGCCACGCCCACCCAATGGGCCACACCCACCCGGCACTCGACAATGCATAAATGGGTTTTGGGTTGCAGTTTGGGCACTCGGTCTCTAAAAGGTTCGCCACCACTGCCGTAGGTCACTGGGTAATACAGCCTAACACCAATTCAAGCAGTCCTTGACTTACAACCATTTGTTTCCTGACTGTTCAAAGTTACAACAGCACTGAAAAAAGTGACTTATGAGCAGTTTTCACATTGATGACTGTTGCAGCATCCCCACAGTCATGTGATCAAAATTTGGTCGCTTGGCAACTGGCAGGTAAGTTGCACTGTCCCGGGGTCACGTGATCACCTTTTGGGATCTTCTCAACCGGCTTGTGACAAGTAAAGTCAATGGGGGAAGCCAGATTCAATTAACAACCGCATGATTCGCTTAACAGCTGCAGTGATTCGCTTAACTGTAGCAAAAAAAAAAATGGAGTGCAGCTCCCAGGACGACTGCCTTGCTTAGCAATAGAAATTTTGGGCTTAATCGTGATTCTAAGTCGAGGACTGCTTGTGCTTTTTATTTGCAAAGAATGAAAAAGATGAGCAGATCTTACCAAATAATCATCCGGACGAATGCCAAAAAGTTCTCGAAAATACCGGAAAGCTACAGGGGCGTATGTTTTGAACCTGAAGTCAGGGTAATGGTGTGCTGGAGTGAGATTACTGCCTTCACTACATTTTGGGAAAGACAGAAACATGTTCACACTGAGCAACACTTTCCTCTTTTCTTACAATTGATAATGAAATGCATCACTTGTACCGCTGGTAACATAAAGGCCTTCCATTTTGGCTATTTTGGAGGGAAACTCAAGGTTACCTCAGGAACCGTTTCCCCCCAGTGTTATCGGCTTGTCCCACTTGCAACAATAGAAGGGGCATGCTGCAGACCCTGTCGGTCAAGGAATTCTGACCGGCAGAATCCAGAAAAAGAGCACTTTTGCCGTGATTCCCGCCCTTTGGAACATCATGCCCCCTGAGGTAAGATCTGCCCGCACCCTCTTAGCCTTCTTGAAAGGCCTTAAAACCTGGTTCTGCCAATTGGCCTGGGGTCCCAACGGGAATGTTCCATATTGGAGGCGGTTAGTGCAATTTGGCAACTTTAAAATCTGTGGGTTTCAACTCTCAGAATTCCTCAGCCAGCCATGCTGGCTGCAGAATTCTGGGAGTTGAAGTCCACAAGTCTTAAAATTAGTGGGTTAGTGCAGAATTCCCCAACATTTTGGGATTGGCGGCCCAGAGCAAGGGGAGAAGGGAAGGTTTGTGGGGGGCCATGAGTGCTTGCACGAGTGGGGTCGCAAATGTCCGCAACGACACTTGCACAAGCTGGGCCGCGAACGTCCGCAACGCTCATGGCAACGCTTGCACGAATGGGGCTATACACACACGCACAACGGCCAGCCATTCACGTGGCCTGGTGGCCAACAGGCCGTGGCCTGGTCGTGGACCGTGGACCACAGCTTGGGGACCCCTGGGCTAGTGGATTAGAAGAAGACTCCATCTCCCCCCGGATGTATATTGGTTCCTTCCTTAACTATCTTTCTGAATTTTAATGTTAATATTTATCGTGTAATGTTCTACCATTTATATTGCCGTTTTTATGTCGTCGCAAGCGGCCTAGAGTCACTCGATGGTGAGATGGGGCGGCATATGAATTTAATAAATAAATAAAGTGAACTTTCTCTTGGCCAGCTTCAATTCCCTCTTCATGTAGCGCGGCCACCCTTGTTAGTAGGACATTACCTGGGAAAGAAAATGCTCTCCACTACGTAGAAATCTTGCATCAAAACATCCCTCTCAGGCTTGGAGCTCAGGTTTCCCACAGTGTAGCCAATCCCCAGCTGGATGGCCCCCTTGAGGGTGGTTGACGTGGTCTGCAGCAGCCAACGAAGAATAGATTAGGTTGAGCGGCACTTAGAGCAGGACTTAATATAGATGTCTATGGAGAGTCTCAATCATCCAGGTCAGGGGTCTTCAAATGTGGCCCTTTTATGACTTATGGACTTCAACTCCCAGAATTCCTCAGCCAGCAAAGCTGGCTGAGGAATTCTGGGAGTTGAAGTCCACAAGTCATAAAAGAGCCAAGTTTGAAGACCCCTGATCCAGATCATGGTCATCCCAAAGGTGCTTTTTCCAAAAGGCAACTGGACTTCCTTGGGTTTTTTTTAGCTTTGAAAACACTTCATTTCTCATCCAAGAGATTTCTTCCGTTCTAACTGAAGTTAGAACCGAAGAAGCTTCCTGAATGTGAAGCGAAACGATTTCAAAGAAAGGAACCAAAGAAGTCCAGTTGCCTTTTGGAAAAAGTGCCCTCGTGGTGACTTAACACACAGAGAAGCGCTCCTCTTCGCTGGTTGGGAGCAACAATTCGTAACAGCCAGTATGGTGTTGACGTGAAGTTGTCGGACCAGAAGAAGGAAGACCCAGGTTTTAGTTCGCCGCTAGCTATGGGACATTGGGCCAGTCTATCTCTCTCAGCTCAAAAGACAGGGTAGTCCAGTGGTAAAGACACTATAATAGGAGCAGGACAACTATTCTATTGCCCCCTCAGCCATGGAAGCTCATTGGCAGATGTTGGACCAGTCCCTCCCTCCTAGCCCAAAAGCCAATCAGATGTAGTGGGGAAAATACTGGACTAGGAGGGGGGGAGACCCAGATTCTATTCCTTCTTCAGGCATGGAAGTTCATTGGCTGACTTTGATCCAGTCCCTCCTTCTCAGCCCAAGAGCCAATCGGGTATAATAAGGGGCTACAGGAAGACCCGGGTTCTCCACCCCTCTTGGACACGGAAGCTCTCCAGGAGACTTTGGGCCAGTCCCACTCTTTCAGCACAGTCTATCTCATAAGGTGGGGGTTGTGAGAACACCTTTGTACACAAATCAAATAAACACGTACCAAGAACTGCAGTAAAGTGGAATGATGAGGGCTTGTCTTAAAGTTGTGCAAGGCAAAGGTTTCCTGACTTGTTTTCTTCTGTCGTGATTAATCCAGGGCAAGGGTCTTCAAACTTGGCCCCTTTTATGACTTGTGGACTTCAACTCCCAGAATTCCTCAGCCAGCGTGCCTGGCTGAGGAATTCTGGGAGCTGAAGTGCACAAGTCATAAAAGGGTCAAGTTTGAAGACCCCTGCTCCAGCGGAAGGATTTGTACATGTTTTTTTAAAATAAAATAAAATAAACATAAGCCTATTACAAGGCTCACCCTTCAGTTTTCACGTCTCCTGCCTCCGACTGTAGTCAGAGGGGATTCTAATAACCTCAGCAAAGTGGACTGCAAGTGGCCTTGGGCTTGGTCACACAGCCCTCCTCCATCTTGTACCGAGACTGTCCAGAAGCAGAGACACTTAGTTTCAGGATAAAGCAGAGCGTGGAGGGGGCCATTCAATTCTTTCCCTTAGTCCCCATCAGAACCTCCACCCTCCAGGAGATCAGACCTTCTTGTATGTCGTTTCCCCTGAGGCGTCAACTCCTCGGTGGCCTATCTTTTTCCCCAGGCCGGCTCCCGGCTGCCCTGTCAGCGATGGTGGCTGGAAAAGGAAGGGAGATCAAAGTAAGCGGAGAAAAAGCGGAGAATATTAATTGCCGGTACAGAAGGAACGTTGAAAAGCTCTGTTAAGATTAGGCCAAGTTTCATCTTAGATCTAAGATCTCGTTTCTCACAGGAGCCTAGCGGATCCCTGTCGGTGCTTACAAATAGGAGTCAAAGACCAGGCCTTCCGTCACCACTGTTCCTCTGCACTGCCGCAACGTGGAGACAACATAAAGAGTTTTTCAGGCTGAAAACGTTTGGTAGATCTGCCCTTTACGCCATCTAAGTTAGTGGCCACCAAGTCATCACGTAACTACAAAGCCCACAAGCTAATTTGTGCTTTGTGAGGAACTGTTTTCTTCTGCTTACTCTAAATCTACTGATCGGCTTCATCTATTTAGAAGAGAAAAAAAAGCTTATCCTGGTTCTCCTTCTCCATGCCAGGCAAGACTTAATAAACCATGTTCTTAATAATAATAATAATAATGATGATGATGATGATGATGATGATGATGATGATGATGATGATGAAGAAGTTGGAAGGGACCTTGGAGATCATCTAGTCCAACCCCCTGCTCAAGCAGGAAACCCTATACCATTTCGGACAAATGGCTGTCCAGTTTCTTCTTAAAAACTTCCAGTGTTGGAGCATTCACCACTTCTGGAGGCAGGTTGTTCCACTGGTTAATTGTTCTAACTGTCAGGAAGTTTCTCCTTAGTTCTAGGTTGCTTCTCTTCTTGATTAGTTTCCATCCGTTGCTTCTTGTCCTGCCTTCAGGCACTTTGGAGAATAGCTTGACTCCCTCTTCTTTGGGGCAGCCCCTGAGATATTGGAACACTGCTATCCTGTCCCCCCTCGTTCTTCTCTTCATTAAACTAGACATACCCAATTTGACAGGTCAAATGGCAGAGGGGAAGTCTGAGATTCCAATCAGCCGTTCTTCCTCCAAAGCAAAAAGCCCCAAGTCCCTCGGTGACCGACTACAAGAGGAAAATGCTGGATGTTTTTCTGTTCCGTTTGATTTCACGGTCCTTCCAAACTCTGCATCCAGCAGCCTGGGCCTTATAATAGCCTTAAAGCAGCTGGCAATCTTTAAAAGCCATTTAATCAATCGTTTAATGAAGCCACCACACTCCAAGTGGGGAAATAAGAAATGGCTTGGCTAGAAAAGCCAGCTTCAGCACTTTTGTATAGGAGTGCTGCCTCCTAAATAACAGTGAGTACTTCTTGTTATCATTATCTGCTAAAGAGCCAGGAGCAAAGTGGGTCTAAGGCAGTGTTTCTCAACCTTGACAATTTTAAGGCACGTGGACTTCAACTCCCAGAATTCCNGCTGGCTCAGGAATTCTGGGAGTTGAAGTCCACGAGTCATAAAAGAGCCCAGGTTGCCTACCCCTATCCTAGGACGAAGATTAAGAGCAGGGGTCTTCAAACTTGCCCCTTTTATGACTCGTGGACTTCAACTCCCAGAATTCCTGAGCCAGCATGGCTCAGCTTGGAAACCTCTCCCTTTCCCCTCAGCATGGCTGGCTCAGGAATTCTGGGAGTTGAAGTCCAAGAGTCATAAAAGAGCCAAGGTTGCCTACCCCTGGTCTAGGGGTTCATTAAGCAGAAGCCTTTGGGTTTAGTAGCATAGAGACTGATACTAACCTTAGGAGGCAGAATAGATTAAGAAAACGACTCCAGAGGAAAGTCCTAACTTTACTCCACTGAAACAGGTTACAGCAGGGATCTCCAAACTTGGCGACTTTTAAGCCTTCAACTCCCAGAATTCCTCAGCCAACCTGGACCCAATCATCTGGTTGATCTCACACGGCAGAGCAATTAAAACAATGAGTCTGAGGCTGGGTTCATAGTAGGCTAAATCATGGCTTATTTAATCCAACGCCAAAAACCCTTAGCCTTAAATTATGGCTTCAAAATCACAACGGCTGGGTTCGTATTAACCACTAAGTTAGGAAGACGTAATTCGGCCCAAGGGCTATTATCTACTTTGCCCTGCTCCAGAAGTAGCTGGGACCAAGGAATGGCTGGGAGATTAAGGAATGAAATAGCCTTGCACAGGCTTCAGGCATCCCTTTTGTTACTTAACCCTAAACCAGGGGGTCTTCAAACTTGGCCCTTTTATGACTTGTGGACTTCCCCAGAATTCCTCAGCCAGACATGCTGGCTGAGGAATTCTAGGAGTTGAAGTCCATAAGTCATAAAAGGGCCAAGTTTGAAGGCCCCTGCCTTACAGCAAAGAGGTTGGATCCTAAGACAGTGATGGCAAACCTTTTAGAGACTGAGTGCCCAAACTGCAACCCAAAACCCACTTATGCATCGTCGAGTGCCGGGTGGGTGTGGCCCATTGGGTGGGCGTGGCTGTGGCGGTAACAGCAAACTGGGTGGGACTAAAAAGTTCAATCAATCATTTCCAACTTTTGCAAGATCTTTTTTTTCCCCGCGAGAAGTTGAAATTGACTGATTGAACCTTTTTTTTGTTTTTTTAGCACACAGCGGCGGAGGCCTAAACCGAAAAGGTTTTATAAAACCCAGCTGAAGGCCTAGGACTGGGGCGACGGCGCGCGTGCCCACAGAGAGGGCTCTGAGTGCCGCCTCTGGCACCCGTGCCATAGGTTCTCCACCACTGACCTAAGACAAATGACTTAGTTCTCTTTTCAAAATAATTCTTCCAAATCCTCTTGTTATAAAAATCAAACATTTCCCTAGTCTGGGGACACTAATGTGGCAGATTCCTGCTCTCTAGTGTCTGGTCTTCATCTCAGGAAATTTTCTAGAACCTTCCCTTTTGTCATCCAGGGCACCATTCAGGGCACCATTCAGTGTTTATCATCTGTTACCTATTCAGAAGAGTTGCTCATAATCCTGTCATCTTTATGCAGCTCTATTCTAGGGCACCTGATCCTTTCCCAAGTCCGGTTCTCAGTGAATAGCTCAGTTTGTTGTCAAAGCTTATTGCTGATGACAAGCCTGGAACAATGATAAATCCAGCAAATAATAGAACTGCTTATGCACTGAAGTGAAAAGAGACAACATACGCATTTCTCTCTGACTCCAGGCAGTTAGGAACTCAGCCAGGGTAGGACGCAGCTCTGCTTACAAAAATTATTTTGTATCACTGAGCAAATCTCCAGAATTATCCTTGTGCTCTTTGCACACAGGCAGAAAACAGACACACGAGGCCATCCCCTGCAAAGCCTTCATCTCCCATTTATTTACTTATTTACTCTTATCATTCTGTGTGTGTACAGGTAGTCCTCGACTTATAACTGAGCCCAAATTTATGTTGCTAAGTGAGACGTTTGTTAAGTGAGTTTTGTCGCATTTTACGACTTATCTTGACACAGCTAGCAATAGCAATAGCACTTAAGACGTATATACCGCTTCACAGTGCTTTACAGCCCCTCTCTAAGCGGTTTACAGAGTCAGCCTGTTGCCTCCAACAATCCGGGTCCTCATTTTATTGACCTTGTAAGGATGGAAGGCTGAGTCAACCTTGAGCTGCTCAAGATCGAACTGCCGAACTGCTGGCAGTCGGCAGTCAGCAGAATTAGCCTGCAATACTGCATCCTAACCACTGCGTCACCACGGCTCCTCAGTTGTTAAGTGAATCATTGTAAATCTTAAGTTAGCCACACGGTTGTTAAGTGAATCTGGTTTACCCGTTGACTTTGCTTGTCAGAAAGTCACAAAGGGTGATCACATCCTCCCAGGACATGGCGATTGTCATAAATGTGAGTCGGTTGCCAATTGTGTGAATTTTGATCATGTGACTATGGGGAGGCTGCAATGGTCGTAAGTGGGGAAAATGGTCATCGGTCACTAAATGAACTATTGAGTCGAAGACTACCTGTATCAGCAAATAAGTCAAATCAACCCACACCCCGATTAACAACATTCAGCCAAGTAAAACAGGCTGAGTGTTATTAAAATTGAAATAACACAAAATGTTGTTGTTATTGTCCCCAGGTGCTTGCTTACAATGAAATTATTGCGGAACACCTGGTCTAAAGGCCCTGATGTTTGTTGGATGGTTTGCCAATAATAACAATGGGAAAACTGGAGCACAAGACAAAGGTGGAACACAATAACATAATTAAAATGAAGCGTTCCATCTTTAAGCAGTTTCTTCTGCTTAAGTTTCTGGAATGTTAAGAGGGAGGATGGGAGTTTTAATTCCAAGAGAAAGCTATTTCATAAGGCTGGATCAGATCCTGGCCTCTATTTTCCTTTCCTCACGAAAGTGGGGTAATAAAAGGAGGCTATTTAGCCCCACACCCTTTTGTGTCTGATGTAAAGGTTACAAATAATGTCAAAATACACAGAGGTGACATCGCAGGGTAAGTATGCAAAACAAGGCACCCCAGATGGAAGGTGTATAGGCAAAGCCAGTCGTGGGCTGAACTGAAGCTGTTTGCTGAACTAACAATGTGGGTTGGTGAATAATTCACCTGCACACAAACACGCTTCTCCACCCCTTCCGGCTCCTTCAGTAGTCTTGTGTTAAATTTCTCAACTGGAATGACGTCAATCATGCTACGCCATGGTTGTTTTAATTATGTTTTGCTGATTGACTCGGAATGAGGTGGTTTGCACAAAATCATCATCATCATCTCAGCCCAAACTGAGATGTGTATACCTGTGTTTGCTTAGTACCCTGGGCGAACCCGGCTTTAAGCATGCTAAGCAGATCATGTGAACTAAATCAAATTTTGCTGAAATAAGTTTGACTTATCGTTTTTATCTGTCCTCAACATGATCTTAGGTACTGATCATATAGGCCAGTGGTGGTGAACCTATGGCACGCGTGCCAGAGGCAGCACTCAGAGCCCTCTCTGTGGGCAGGCGTGCCGTGCCCCGGAGATGGCGAGGGACTGCCCCCTGCTGCCCTGGCCCCGCCCACCCAGTCTGCCATGACCACTACGGCCACGCCCACCCGGCACCCGGTGATAAATAAGTGGGTTTTGGGTTGCAGTTTGGGCACTGGGTCTCTAAAAGGTTCACCGTCACTGATATAGGCTGAATTTTCACCATGTAAAATGAACCGTCCTTCAAGCTGGAACATCCAGGCAGGCGTACAATACTGCAGGAATTATGATGGGCAACCCAAGTATCTTCACACAAAAAAGACCTACAATGTAATCTGAACTCCTAGTTCCCTTGTAGTTGTTGTCAGTAAACCTGGCTCTTCAACAAAGCAGAAAGGCTTCCCCTTGGGCAGCGATGTGTGTCGAGATTGAAACAAGGGGGGTGAGCTTGTGGTTATGGGAGTCAAAGGAAGGGCTGTTCAGAGCCAGCTTGGTCTAGAGGTACTTTGTAGCGCTATGCTACAAAGTAGGAGACAGTGAGTTCCAGCCTCGCTTTAACCATGAAAGTCAGCTGGGTGGCTTTAGGCCAATCACCATGAGACAGATGTTTCTAGTCCTGCCTTAGTCACGAAAACTAGCTGGGTGATAAAATGGTGGAATATAATATTATATCGTATCTATAGCAATTAAGACTTACATACCGCTTCATAGTGCTTTACAGCACTAAGCAGTTTATAGTCAGCATAGATACATACATACATACATACATACATACATACATACATACATACATACATACATACATACATACATATTCATTCAGTCCAACAGCCGGCAAAAGAAAAATCAAGCAGAATCACGCAAGAACCCGTTACCCAGGTCACGTCGCCCACACAGGAGAGCGCCAAGGCCCAAGCTGGACCTACCACCGCTCTGCCCTCCTATGACAGCGACGACGAAGGTGGTGTCGACCTGTTCCGCCTTTTTCTCTCGCTGCTAAGCTCGTAGTTCCTAAGACAGGGGTACAAATGGATCTGAAAGTGCTAGTGGACTCAGGATGTTCCCGGTGCATTATCAGTTTGCCAATTGCCCTCAAGATGGGTATACGAGCAAGACTGCTCTCCAGGCCCATGAGGTTTGAACAGGCAGATGGCTCCTTAAGGGGAGGGACTTTAATCGCCCATCTGACGGAACCTATATGCTTAGAAATAGGTGAGCATTGAGAGTTCATCCATTTCGTGGTGGGCCCGAAGATGACTGCGGCTGTGATCTTAGGTCTAGCCTGGTTGGACAGGGGGAAGCCTTTTATCTGGTGGGAGAAGGGGATGAGGACTGTGAGATTGCCCATAGGCCCCAAGCCCCCTCTTGATTCTACCGACATTACTGGAGGGCCTAAGCCTTTTACCGAATCGGCAAAGATAGCTGCCATTCCCCGGCCGGGCGAACCATTCATTCCCAGTGAATACTGAGATTTAGCGGAGGTGTTTAGTGAAAGAGTGCGACATCGGCCAAATGACTGCGCCACTGAACTATTACCGGGGGCTAAACTCCCAAGGCCGAGAATGTACGCTATGGCCCCCCTCGAAATGGATGAACTACAGCAATATGTGAACAAAAACCTAGCGAGAGGTTTTATAGAGCCGGCCAAATCCCAGGTGGGGGCTCCAGTGTTGCGTTGACACATTCATTCATTCATTCAAGACCACTCCGGGGGGGAGGAGTCGCTTGCCTAAAGAACCTTGGAGACGCTGGTGCTCAAAATCTTTTCTAAATACTCTGATTAACGTGCTATACAGGAAATCACTTGCTTTATTTAAAAAAAAACCAACAACCTTCCCACCGGCATATAACTCCACTGCAATGACAAAGTATGGAACCCATAGATCCAGAGAAGTGTGGGTTTCTACAGAAATTGTTATTACAAATGGACAACCATTTGTCTGAAATGGTATAGGGCAGGGGTAGGCAACCTTGGCTCTTTTATGACTGGTGGACTTCAACTCCCAGAATTCCTGAGCCAGCATGGCTCAGCTTGGAAACCTCTCCCTGTCCCCTCAGCATGGCTGGCTCAGGAATTCTGGGAGTTGAAGTCCACCAGTCATAAAAGGGCCAAGGTTGCCTACCCCTGGTATAGGGTTTCCTGCTTGGGCAGGGGGTTGAAGACCTCCAGGGTAACTTCCAACTTTATTATTATTATTATTATTATTATTATTATTATTAATCATCACACAGTCAGCCAGATGTTCAGACTGGATTTGGCATTTTTGTCTACCTATTGAGTCCTTCCCAAGGACCTGGGATAGGCAGATGTGGATGTTTGATGGTATTACAGATATCGTCGCAGGATGGAGGCAGTTCCTAGTAAGACGATGATTTCTGTAATACCATTAAACATCCACATCTGCCTATCCCAGGTCCTTGGGAAGGGCTTGATTATTATTATTATTATTATTATTATTATTATTATTATTATTATTATTAATAATAATAATAATAATAATAATACATTCAGAGAAATAGCCTATTTCTGTTAACTTTTAATTTATTTACTAGAACTGTTTCTAATGGAATATAAAGAGTATATAAAACTGTATTTCCAAAAGCAGCTAATAATGTACCTGGAACACATAAAAACTGAAAACATAACAAATAAATGCAAATTTTTACCTCTGTTAGAATTGCCTTCTTCAAAGCCAGCCCTGAAAAAATAAGAACATGGTGAGGAGGTAAACACAGAAACATGCTGTTTTTACAGTCCCATTCCTAACCTAGGTAGAAGCTTTGGGATGAAGGCTGCCAGGAACCAAGGCTTCCCTCTGTCCTTCTTACAGGAAAATTCCAAATCTGAAATCAAACTTTCCCTTTAAAAATTCATTTTGTCCAACTCAAAAGGATCAGGGTTTGATTTCCTTTTCTCCATCTTTATGTGCATGATGTGTACAAGTGGACGTGCAAAATATTTCAACTCTCGGCTATTTCAAATTCAAAATAGCCAATTCAAATTTGAAAATGAACTGTTCCAACCTTGCTGGAATGTTCCGGCATTATTCTGATCAGACCCGTTGTGTTCCAAGCTGCCGCTTTGAAGTTGGAATACTTCCAGTGTAGTTGGAATATGTGAGCAATGAAACATTATGCACATCACGTTGTTTGCTTATAAACAGCCTCTATTAAAGATAATGGGATTTTCTTCAATAAAACAGAGATGTGGGCTGGAAATTTTATGGAGTAGAAATTTTCCTTCAAAGGTTCTCCACTCCAGGCAAGTTTGGCAATTTCAAAGTCGGACAGAATTTGCTACCAATAAAGGAGAATATTTGTAGCAGGGTTGAAAGGAGAGGTTCTTTGGTGCTCTCTGAGTTTGGCTGTTTTCTTGCAGATGTTTCATTACCCAAATTAGGTAACATCATCAGTGCACTGATGCTATCTAGTTTGGGTAATGAAACTACTGCAAGAAAACAAACAAGCTCAGAGAACACCAAGGACCCCTCACAAAATTTGCTTTTCCAGGTGACTGTTATAAAAGAAAGTTTGAAACATGGCTCTCTCCCCCTTGCACCAAATAATATAGCCCACGTCTTTGAACAGACTATAGATCAGGGGTCTTCAAACTTGGCCCTTTGATGACTTGTGGACTTCAACTCCCAGAATTCCTCAGCCAGGCACGCTGGCTGAGGAATTCTGGGAGTTGAAGTCCACAAGTCATCAAAGGGCCAAGTTTGAAGACCCCTTGCTATAGACCAGTGGTTCTCAACCTTTTTAATGCTGCGACCCCCAACCGGTCGTAAGTCGAGGACTAAACCGATTGTAAGTCGAGGACTAAACCGGTCGTAAGTCGAGGACGAAACCGGTCGTAAGTTGAGGACTACCCAACCAGTCGTAAGTCGAGGACTTTCCCTGCCCGGGAGCGCCGCGCATGCGTGGTTCCGCCCCCTGCGCCGGCCGAGGCATAGCTGGCAAGCGGCAGAGATGGAGCAGGCCAACCACCAGCTGGCCCAGCTCAAGGGAGGTAAGGCACCCACCGGAAAAGGGGAAAAAAATGGCGGACAGCCTTGCTTGGTGACCCCCGTGAAATGGTCGATTGACCCCAAATGGGGTTGTGACCCATAGGTTGAGAACCGCTGCACTAAATAATATAGCCCATGTCTTTGAACAGACTACAAATCAGGGGTCTTCAAACTTGGCCTTTTGATGACTTGTGGACTTCAACTCCCAGAATTCCTCAGCCAGGCACGCTGGCTGAGGAATTCTGGGAGTTGAAGTCCACAAGTCATCAAAGGGCCCAAGTTTGAAGACCCCTTGCTATAGACACTGCGATGAATATGGTAATCAGAATTATATTCATTTGCATAGGAAAAATGTTCCTATTCAACGTCTTCTGGAACAGTCACATCCCTGTAAGTAAACAAACCAGATTACTTGGGTAGCTTTCCAACCGTTGCCAAGTTGTCACATTCAAGCAATCAAATTCCAGCTCAATTGTTCCACCTACATTTTCGTGCGAACCTTAATAAGGCCAACGACGACTCTGAATAACAAAACTCATCTCTCCACCCAGAAAAATCGGCATTCCCAAAAGAAGTCTCATCTGTCCTTCATCCAACATTTATTTGTTTATGCCAGATGCTTATAGGATTACCCATCTTACCTATCATAACTCTGGGAGGCTCACAACACCACAATAAAATCAAAGGAAACAATGAAACCAACACCATCCCCAAATCTTAGTTTTCCAACAAAACAAACTTAAGACTTGTGATTCCTCTCTGTCTAATACAGGTTGTCCTTGATTTACGACTACAGCTGGGATTAGAATTTCCGTTGCTAAGCGAGGCAGTTGTTTTTAAGTGATTTTTGTAACCGGTTTTTTTTTGACGTGGTTGTTAACTGAATCACCGCAGTTGTTTAGGTGAATTATGTGGTCGTTAAATGAATCTGGCTTCTTCCATTGACTTGGCTTGTCAGAAGCCAGCTGGGAAGGTTGCAAATAGGTCATGTGACCCCAGGGCACTGCAAATGTCATAAATACGTGCAGTTGCTAACTGCCCGAATTTTGTTCCCTGTAACCATGGGAAAGCTGTGCAATGACCAGTCATAAATCACTTTTTTCAGTGCCACTGTAAATTTTAATAGTCACTAAGCCAGACATGTCAAACACAAGGCCTGGGGGCCGGATGCGGCCCGCGAAGTGGTTTCATGTGGCCCGCGAAGCCATCCTGGAAACAGTGAAGGAACGGCCCCTGCTGCCTGGACCAGGTTATCTGCAGGACCGCCTTCTGCCACATACCTCCCTTTGACCAGTCCGCTCCCACAGATTAGGCCTCCTCAGGGTGCTGTCGGCCGGACAATGCCGGCTGGTGACCCCCAGGGGGAGAGCCTTCTCTGTGGCAGCTCCTACCCTATGGAATGAGCTGCCCCCTGACCTCCGTACAATGGGGGACATACGCCTATTCCGCCGAGCCCTAAAGACCTATCTGTTCCAAGAGGCCGGTCTGGCATAAATCTGAAATTCTAAAATTTTAAATTGGGTATAATTTTATATTATTATAGTGGGTTTTAGGACAGGACAAATAATTTAATTAGTTTTGAATATTTTTAAATATTATGGTATTGCTGTTTTATTAATGTGCCTGTTCACCGCCCTGAGTCCCGCAAGGGAGAAGGGCGGTATATAAATCAAATAAATTTGAATTTGAATTTGCCTTGGCCCAGGCCGGCCGGGAGCCACTGTACAATTTTGTGGTGGCCATGTATGCTGAAACGCATTCAGTCTTAGCTCCACAAGGCCATCTAGAAACAGCAAGGAACCAGCCCCTGCCGTGTCAGCCCCGCCCCCTGGGTGCATGCTGGGGAGGTGTCACCCTTTGTGAGGAATGAAGAAATGGACCATGCCTTGGCGCTTGCCCCGGTCCCACCCCCTTCTGCCAGAGACCCTCAGATCTGTCCCACTCCTGCCCAGGCCCCCACAAGCACCCTTGATGCGAACGATGTAGAGCTGGCCATGCCCACCCAGTAGGCCGCACCCACCCAGTAGGCCGCACCCACCCTGACCACACACCCCTGCCCCCACCCCAGGGCAACCGCAATGCTCATGCGGCCCTCAATGAAATTGAGTTTGACACCCCTGCACTAAGCAAATAGCTGTACAGCCAAGACACAAGTTTACAACATATCAGACTTCAGAATTCTGAACTGTGTCGTTTTAAAATACGGTTTTGGGTACCCCAGAATGAGTGGATTTTCTTTTCTTCTTAATCTTTTGGAGGGTGGGGCAGCCAAGGGCAAAAATTGGTAATCCTTGAATATTTAAAGCACTGATTCCATGATATCCCCTGAACCACCACCCCTGTGGAAAAAAAAAAGCAGATGGATTTTCCCACTGAAGAAACAGATGTTTTTTTCCTGTTTCGGTTTAGTTTAAAGGGCAAAATAAGCGCCTTAAGCCTCTGAAAGGCTTAAGATTCCCATTTGCCCTTTAAAAAAAAAACACCTACTAAAATAGGAAAAGAGGCCAAAGATTTCAGCTCTGCCCACTCCAGCAAGACTTTTGTGTTACCAGGTACACGCCTTCTCTCCAGGCAGGACACAAAAACAAACTGCAGCCCCAAGGCCAAACAAACTACCACCCTAATTATTTTTAATTCATTATTTGGAGAAATTACCAGTCCTTTTCGCAGTCTTCTCTCTCAAGACTAAACTGTCCGGTTCGAGAAGACCAACCGGGTTTCTTCCACTGCACAGAAAAAAACACTGCTGCCGAGAGTCTTTTTAAATTCATCCCTCTAAAAACAAATTGTTGTTAAGTGAGATATCGCGTGATTGCAGTTTGCAACCTCCTTCACTGGGGAAGTCAGCTGGGAAGGTTGCAAATGGGAATCGCGTGATTGAAGTTGCCACCTTTTTTTCTAATGCATGCCACACAGATAAAAACAGACAAAGCCTCCATCACTACGGTCTTCCGTCTTGACTCTTTTGACCACACCCTGCAGATACCACTAGAACAGACATGTCAAATTCACGATGTCACGTGATGTTACGTGACATATTAACTATGAGAGGGATCTCAGAGTCCTAGTGGACAATCACTGAAATATGAGCCAGCCGTGTGCTGCAGCTGCCAAAAACGCCAACACAGTGCTGGGCTGCATTAACAGAGGGAGAGAATCAAGATCACGTGAAGTGTTAATACTACTTTACAAGGCCTCGGTAAGGCCACACTTGGAATACCGCATCCAGTTTTGGTCACCACAATGTAAAGATGATGTTGAGACTCTAGAAAGAGTGCAGAGAAGAGCAACAAAGATGATCAGGAGACTGGAGGCTAAAACACATAAGGAACGGTTGCAGGAATTGGGTATATCTAGTTTAATGAAGAGAAGGACGAGGGGGGACATAATAGCCATGTTCCAATATCTCAGGGGCTGCCACAAAGAAGAGGGAGTCAAGCTATTCTCCAAAGCGCCTGAAGGCAGGACAAGAAGCAACGGATGGAAACTAATCAAGGAGAGAAGCAACCTAGAACTAAGGAGAAACTTCCTGACAGTGAGAACAATTAACCAGTGGAACAACCTGCCTCCAGAAGCTGTGAATGCTCCAACACTGGAAATTTTTAAAAAGAGACTGGACAGCCATTTGTCCGAAATGGTATAGGGTTTCCTGCCTCAGCAGGGGGTTGAACTAGATGACCTCCAAGATCCCT